ATCAGTGTGATACACAAGACCTTTTCTTTCCTCAGCAGAATCCTTGATCACATTCTCCCCATATGGGACATAAATAGAAAGAAAAAGAGATACATAGTGTCTTATCTGGGGTATTAGGCTTTAATGTGCGTTAGTATTGCACTCACATGTAAAAAAGTAAAATAAGCCTTGTATACATAGAGCCGCAAGTAGCAGTGAGATGTGCCTTGTTGTTGTGTCTCAGCACACTGTCAATACTCACCGTGTCCTGAGTTCGGATGCATGATGACGTCCCTGCCCCTCCCCTATGCGTTACGCTACAGGGACTCGTAGCTTCCTCTGGGGGATGTAATATGTTTTCAATGGAACTACACTAAATTGTCTCTTTAATATGAGATTCATACTCCATAATAAGTGAAAACAACAAGAAAAAAAAGGTTTTGTATGACATTTTATTCTGGGAATGTGTACAAAGCTGCATTCATTTAAAGTAACATGCACAGATTCACTATTGCACATGCACATATTACATAGCATCATGTTACTATGTCCATGTCCTACAGATCACATACAGTAATTATTCCAAAATAATTTACATTTTATTAAAACTCCATAACATTGTTCAAATAAATGTTTCTGTCTTTTTGTTAAAAGCCCCTTTTCAACTTAAATTCTGGTCCCATTCCCTCTACCCCCAATAGCTATTTTTATAAAGTGCTTTTCTCTGGTCTGCACCATAGAGTGACAGCTTACATTCTGATTGGTGAATTTAGGCTACATAATATTTACCAAAAACTTAAAAAAATAGTACATTGATAAAAGTCCTATGTGGCACAAGGGATACTACTGGAAATGTCCTACATTGAGCAGGTAACAGGCATATGGAATAAAGCTGGAGAAATTAATCAAATGGGGATGTTGTCCGCAATAACAAATCAATTTCATTTTTTTAAATTAAACCAGCCCTATGAACTTTATTTCATTTAGGGATTTTAAGAGAACTGAAATGTAATGACCCTCCTAGCCTATTCCATTTTTGGCTTTATGTCATCTTCCAGCTGCAGGTAATGACAGTTGAAAGGAGAACATTAACAAACAGCATTTGTAAACATACAGCACATTCATTCTATTCACTGAAACACACTTAAAAATGACTGTTGGAATCTGATTGGTTGCGGTTGGTAAGTGCTCAGTTTTCGTTGGGACTTTTTACAGGCTTCCTGGCTAAACTGAGAATGGTTCATGTTGTCCACCACCACCAGTCAAATTTGTCTCTTATTTTCCCATTCTATTATAGGAGAAACTCTTCCAACAGACTGGACACATACAACAGTTTTTAGGCATCAACTACTACTATCTTAAAAATAAAAATGGAACCTACTGCAACAGGTTGTCACATAGCGGGAGAGAGCTCCCATCTTTGACCTCACAGCTCAACAGGCACCATTTTCAATTCTTACCAAGCACAGAAATACAAATCATTGCTGTTGATAACAGTACAGATGATTTTCACTGGTTTAGCTAAAGAGTTGCATGTAGGAGGGCACAAAAAAAACAAAACACAATTGCCCTACAAAATTTGTGTCATCAATATGAAATTTTTTCTTTTAGTGCTTCCCATAAATTAAAACCAGACACAACTAACTCGCCCTCTAAAAAACATGGACTTTAAAGTACGCTTAGTAGACTTCATCCTTAGGGGTTTTCCACTTCAAGATACAACATGGAAATTCCTTTTAGTTGGGTTCCATGCACATCAATTCTGCCCAAGCTGGACTCAAACAGATCTAATATAGAGGTCCTCTGCTGCTGGACACTGCTCACCAACTGCAGGGTCTTTCTGTATTTAGGTAGAAAGTGGAGGACCTGTTACAGAATAATTTCATGAAGTTACAAATGTGTGATGAAAAGTTCACACAAAACTTCATCAGGAAGGAAGCAGCCAAAACTCAATGGAACCATTATAGCACAATGTTTCTGCTCTTGGAAATACTAAGCAATATTGTCAGTCCTGCCTTCGTTCTTTCCTGTTGGACTACACAACACTGCCCCCCCAAATAAGACAAGGGAGAGTTATTCTGAAGTCCAGCGGGGGAGAGTTAAGGCAGGGCTGACAATACTGCCTGGTATTTCAGTGCACCACAGCAGTGTTGCTGGCTTTAGCCAGAGTTTAGGAACTCACAAGATTTCTGGCAGGATCAACAGGTATTTTATGTGCTTGCAGCTCTGGGAAACAAAACATGAAGAATGTGCATGTAATGCAGAGGTGTACAGAATTTTTTTTTCTGATTTTCACTTTAAGTTCCTGGAATTTGCATCTCTGAGTTAATATACACTAACTTTTCACACGTGCACACATACACCTAAATCTGGATCCCTACACCAGCAAAAAAGGACAAACATTTATTCATACATTCATGTTTTCCAACAAACCCAACCAGTTTTACTTTTCTTAAGAGACCTATTAAGCCCACTACATAGAGGGCTTGCAATATCATTTCTGTTGTGTAAAATAGGCAAGCTTAACAGTACATCTATTTGTAAATTAGATTCCATTTAAAGTAGAACTCCAGGAATGCTAGATCCCTGGATCAGGGCACAGGCCATAATGATGTGACCTTGGCTGAAATATCTTGGTGCTGCAAGTTGCAGAGCTAGTATGAGAGGTTTCTTCCATCATTGCTGCTGTGTACAGTAAAGCGTCTGCCTGCTTGTGATGTATACCAATGTATGGCTCTTACTTCAAACCAGAATGTGGCATTGTAGCATCTATTAATTATAATTTTTTTCTGGATGACCAATCGGGGTGTTTTATGGACAAATAGTACATGCTTAGTTTGCATAATGGAATAGTTATGGGTATTCAGTACTTACAAACAGATATGACCAACAGCGCTCGGAACCTCTTGCTATATCTAAGTTGCAGAGCCAGCAAACTTCTACTGCCTGTGCTCTGCATTTAGAATTAAATGTTCACTCCATAGAAGTCTATAAGATTTTGCAGCATCAGGCTAGCTGTAAATATGAGTGCCAGTAGCAGATGTATGCCAGCTTGGGATGAAGATCACTAAGCTGCAATGGAGGGGGCTGCAGCGCACATCGCTACCCTTACTGTGCCCAGATTTAAATGCCCGTCCCATTCCTGAAGATCTTATTTAGCTGTTAGACTTTCTCTCTTGACTACTGATTTTACCTCCGGACCTGCAATGTTACTCAAATCAGGTCCAAGGTAGGCTTAGGATATTTGTACACCCAGATTTAAATGCCCGTCCCATTCCTGAAGATCTTATTTAGCTGTAAGACTTTCTCTCTCTTGACTACTGATTTTACCTCCGGACCTGCAATGTTACTCAAATCAAGTCCAAGGTAGGCTTAGGATATTTATACACCAAGTGTAATTATTACAGAAATATATGAACATTTGTAGTATTCATGATGGTATTTATAGCCAAATGATCAGCCACATAACAAAAAGTACCAGAACTGATTGTCAGACTTGTAAAATGTGGCTAAAGTTTTGGCCAATTCCTGTTTTCTGCTGATCTCTACACTAGAGTTAAGCATGAGTTACTCAAAGCCTAAAGAGAGATTACCTAACATACAACAAACAGTATAACTTCTAAGGGTCCCTTCTATCCTGCACAGTTGATCAAAAGCTCTCATACGTAGCTATGTTTATCAGACTGGTCATTTACCAACATCGACAGCATTACGTTTCTCCATCATTGACACATACCACTTAGCTTGGCCATACATTGGCTAATTTTTCATAAGATCTGAACATGATTTAACATATTGACACAAATGGGATGATCTTTAGTGAAGTAACAAATTTGGGATCGCTTTATGTACGGTAACTTGTCGTTTTAAATTATCTACGCTGTCAACAGAGCCAGGCATCTTAGATCACTGGCTGTTCATATACAACTTCATATGCATATAACTGGCACCTCACTGCATGCATTTACATGTCTCAAAAAACTGACTGCAGAGAACTGTTATCTGGACAATCATTTTTTATAGAGAAGCTGCACTACCTGTCCTGACTTAAAAAGCATTTACTTCCTTCCTTGCACAACACAGGTAAAGGTGTTCTGTACTAAAGCATGATATCAGTTACCATTTTTACATTACACTTGTTTAGGTCACAGTTTTTTTTTATAATGACAGGTTTGCTTTATTGAAGCTGTGCCACCCCGCCGTATACAAATTATGTTGTACAGACGAGGGGGAGCACCCGCCTTGTACAAATTATGCTGTACAGACAAGAGAGCACCTAGCTGATACCCCCCAATACTGTACCCTAAAGTCTAGCCAACATCCCCTCTGTCATAGGATTCTTAACTAAAGCTCTCACAGATGCCTATTGTTGGGAACTTACAGACAAGAGAGCGTGAGTAGCTTAGAATTAGATTTCAGTGAAATGAAGCAGTACCACCTCCGCCAATCATCTTATGGGTGGTTTGTGCCAATCTGTAATAGAAAGCAAGGGAAGTTTTGCCATCCACAGCCCTCTACCTGAATGGCTTGGTTACAGCATGCACCATACCCCAAGAATGCCAGCTCACATGGCAGTATGACATGGTCATTGGTTAATGTGTTGTAAATGGCCTCAGTATTACTATTCACTAATAGATCCATCACCACCACTCTCACATTAGCCTTGCTGCCTACTTTCTTAGCATCACTACTGATCTCCGGCCTCTATTCTCTATGCTGGCATCCTTGCTGTTTTCTTTGTGCCTAAGTGTTGTTTCCATATTGGGATCAGCCTGGGTGATATGCCCTGAGCATATAACATTAGTCACGTCAGACGTGATCTGCAGCTTAGGTTTTACATGTGGTACACATGAGCTATAAACTAGGCTCTATTTAAGCAGTACACAAATGGTGCTTTTTTTTTCTGTAGTCCACATTCCTGGCAGTCACACCCAATGCACAACATGGATGGCGCATGGCTCACATAGCCAACATTGGCGATCACATACAACCTCATGCCTCCAGCATGCTCAAAGGTGGCTTCAGATGAGACGGTCCTCCTGCACCTGTTGCTCACACACCCCGGTGAAACACATCCCACCAGCTTGTCCATTACTGCCCTCATGGGTGGAGATCCGCTGCTCCGAGGAGTGCTGGGCCCAGATTTCCAGGGGAAGATCTTTAGGCAAAGGCCGCTCTTTCAGATATGCCTCCAACTGGCGTAAAAGATCTTTAGGCTTCCTCTTGGCAAATGTCTCAAGTTCTACAACAGAGAAGAATAGATGAAATGATAATGATGGCATTTTCTGTATGTATGTTACCTATACAGAGTTGCCTATACCACCCCTCCCATTGAGCGCCGCAGCTCCATTCATTCCTATGAGAAAGCCATACTCAGGGTAGCCTCAAGCAGCCATTTGGGTTAAAGTTGTTCTAAAGGCTTCTGTGTGCAGCGTGTCCCCAGCCCCCCCAAACCTTACCTGAGCCCCCTCTAATTCAGCGACGATATCAACAGCCTCTGCTATCTGGGGACTCTTGCTCCTTGTTGGCTGAGACCGCAGTGGGAGCCCATTGGCTGTCAATCACAGCCAGAGAGCCAATGAGGAGAAAGTGGGGGAGGGGGGCGCATCTAAATTCAGCTGGTTGAGCAGGAACTGGTTGAATTTGCATCAGTGTGTGACCATTCCCTCTTGACAGAAGTCAAACAACAGAATGTTGAGCAGGGATGGCCAAAGAGACATACTAGGAAACGTTTGTCAATCAGGTGCAGCTGTGATCAGTGTATACTGACTGTGAGGGGTCCTACTGTCAGAATAACCAATGCAAAAGTAGGGGGGTTTCGCCATCCACCTTGTTTGTGTGGATGGAAGAACCTGTTTTTTTTTTTTTTTTTTTTCAGCCTGCTGGATGAACAAAATACAAACTGTCTATGGCCAGCTTAAGACCTACTGGGCAGCAATCATGGAAGTGGGAGAAATGAAAATGAAGTGCAGTTGTCCTTTATGGGTTTAGTGTAGGGTGAGGGATTGGACTCTGAGAATATTGGGCTTTTGTATGTATGATCTGCTTTGATGTGAATGATGATGACTTTATATCATATTCATAATAATTAGTGACATCTATGGCCCAACTGTCAGAACACTTTAACACTTTTGAGGATGTGTTCCTTCCTAGGAACTATATTTACTATAGTGTATAGACTTATCTCACAAAGCTGTACTACTTATACAGATGTCATAGGATATCAGACAGACATGGTCCCTTTTACTTTCACAGGTTTTTTTGATCAGCAGACCCAACAAAACAGGCAAATTTGGTAACCATTACATAGTGGAATGTGATTCAGAGGGGGTCTGATAGTGGCAAAGTACTAGCTTTGGGGTCTTTGCTGTATCCACTCGATGTCTCCACCACTGCATCTTTTGCATGTTCCCACCTCAAGGGGATCGTATTGTACTGCACCAGAATCAGCCAAGTAACATCTTCCTTGTACTTGATCTGATCAGCACACCATCCACACTTACTAAGCCCAATAAGATGAAGTGGTTGCCAGAAAAAAAAAAAAACAGATTCCTCACCCACTGGGGACAACTGTGACTAAAACAGACCCACAGGACAAGGCTTCCGAACAATAAAGAGATCTTCCTCATTCTCCTTTTCCACACATTACACTCTGCTCTTAATGGGCCCTGGAAATATACACTGATCAGCCATAACAACATTACAATCACCCACTTAATACTGAGTAGGTCCCCATTTTGCTATCAAAACAGCCCTGAGCCATCTAAGCAGGGAATCCACTAGACCTCTGAAGGTATATTGTGGTATCTGGCACCAAGCAGTCAATAGCAGATCCTTTAAGTCCTGCACATTACGAGGTGGGGCCTCTATGGATTGGACTTGTTTTTCCAGCACATCTCACAGATGCTCGTTGGAATAAGGTCTGGAGAATTTGAAGGCCAAGTCAACACCTCAAACATGTTGTTGTGTTCCTCAAAGCATTCTTGAACCTATTTTGCAGTGTGGCAGGATGCAATATCCTGCTCAAAGAGGCCACTGCCATCAGGGAATACTGTTTCCATGAAGGGGTGTAATTGGTTAGAAAAAACCTTTAGGTAGGTCTTACGTGTCAAGTAACATCCACATGAATGGCAGGACCCAAGGTATGCCAGCAGAACACTGCCCAAAGCATCACACTGCCTCCACCGGCTTGCCTTCTTCCCATACTGCATTCTGATGCCAACTCTTCCCCAGGCATCGCAGATGTACCTGGTTATCCATATGATGTAAAAGAAAATGTGATTTGTCAGACCTGGATACCTTCTTCCATTGATCTGTAATCTAGTCCTGATGCTCAGGTACCCATTGTAGGCACTTCTAGCTTTGGACATCGGTCAGTATGGGCACCCTGAATGGTCTGCAGCTACGCAGCCCCATACAAAACAAACTGCGATCCCCATTTTTTCTGCTTTCAACTTCAGGAACAGCATGCTCACTTGCTGCCTGATATATCCCACCCATTTTCAGGTGTCATGGTATCTAGATAATCAATGTTATTCAATGTACTTCTCAGTGGTCACAATGTTATGGATGATTGGTGTACATTTTTCTGTAGACACCTACTACCTACACAGACATATACTCCATCACAAAAAATACAGTGCCAAAAACTCAGTCACCTTTAAGGATGAAGCCGGAGTCACTGATGGTTTTGTTCTGTGTCTTCCACACATGGTAGAGGTGGTAGAAAATGGCCACATAAAGATCATTCAGTACAGCAAAGACTTGTTGTCTCCGGTTACACTCCCTGTAAAATCAATTTGCAATATTAATATATAGAGAATGTGCCAAACATCATAAGATTTCTGTATAAAGGGTTCCTTTCAAATTTGAAGTATGTTTTTTCAGTATATGCATAATTTTAATGATTGCAGAATTTAACGGAAAATAATTTTGATGAGCCTTTCACATGAGTAATGCTTGCTCTTCTAGTGTTACAGAGAGATAGAGATTACCCACCAGAGGGGACCCTGTGTTTTCAGCCACTGAGGGAGTGGATTGTTTTCAATTGTATTCAAATGTCCCCTCCCTCTCAGATTGTAAGCTCCAAGGAGCAGGGCCCTCCTAACCCTCTTGTATTGAACTGTATTGTTGCTGTATTGTCTCCCTTTATATTGTAAAGCGCTGAGCAAACTGTTGGCACTATATAAATCCTGTATAATAATAATAATGTCTCCCCAGTGATATCTATACAAAGGTAATATTAACTTTAGGGAGACAGCTGATGACATATCACTACACCGGCCCGTTGCCAGTGTCATGTGACCAATCACAGCTGATCACATGTCAATTGTATACAATGGATGGTTTTCTGTCATGCCATACATTGTATACAATTATGTTGTTAGTTGTGACAGCTCAAGGCAGTCACATGATACAGACAAGGCCAATCACAGCCCATCTGTAACATGTGATCAGCTTTGCCCAATCACAGCTAATCACAACAAAAGACTGAATGAATTTGTTTCATGCAGTAACAATGATTGCAAATATCAATGAAATACATTGGTATTAGCAATCATAATGTGTTAAAAAAAACAAAATCCTGATCACTTGCCCAGAGTAGTTCAATGTTACTATGGTAACATTGTATTGCTTTGGTCAAAGTGTGCTGAAAAATAAAATAGTAAAAAAAAGGAACTGTGAAATACAAAAAAAAAAATAACAGAAACAATTGAAAAAAAAATACAAATTCAATTATTATTATTATTTTCAGCAGAATGTAGCAGAATACATTTTGACCTAATTTTATGAAGAAATGTTATTTGCAAAATTTTATAACAGGAATGAAGAAAAGTGTTTTTTTTTTCAAAAGTTTCAGGTGTTCTTTTTTTTTTTTGTTTTATTTAGCATAAAAATAAAAAATTCAGTGGTGATTAAATACCACCAAAAGAAAGCTCTATTTGTGTGAAAAAAATGATAAAAATGTCATATGGGTACAGTGTGGCATGACTGCGCAATTGTCATTAACAGTGCGACAGAGCTGAAAGCTGAAAATTGGCCTGGGCAGGAAGGGGGTATACGTGCCTGGTATTGAAGCGGTTAAGTTACTGAGCTCAGGTGTTTCCAGTGAAGGTTACAAAGTCATGTTAGACAATAGTACACTTATAACCTTGTGACAACAGTTTGAGGATGGCCCTCTTCTGTTCCAGCATAGATGTACTCCTATGTACAAAGCCAGCTCCATAAAGACATGGTTTGATAAGTTTGGTTTGGTTTGGTTTGGTGTGGAGGAACTTGGATTGACCTCCTGGGATGTGTTGGATTGTCAATTGTGAGCCAGGTCTTCTCTTCCAACATCAGTACCTGACCTTACAAATGCTCATTTGACTGAATGGACACAAATAATCACAGATAAAGTCAAAAATACTTGCAAAAGGGAAGAGGCTGTTATAGCAAAATAAGGGGGTGAGGGAGGGTTGGGGAGACTCCATATTAATGCCCTTGGTTTTGGAATGGTATCCATCAGAAGCTCAAATATGTGTGATGGTCAGATACATTCAAACTTTTGCCCATGTACTGTATAAGGTTCCATTCAAACTTGCAAATGGGACTGACACTGAGTACATGCAAGAATCCCAAGAGGGGTTCCTGGTGATTAGGTGCGGGAGGCAATCCCACTGAAAGCAATGGGAAGCTGCTGGCTTCACAGCTACTTGCATGTAACTGCTCAAAGTGCTCACCTGCAGATAACTGGCCCTGGACTCAGAATGTCTGTGTCCAGGGCCAATCACTCGCAGGTGATTTCTTCAACATGTGAGTGGTCACAATTAGCTGCGGGGGCCAGCAGCCTCCCATTGCTTTGAATGGACTGCTTCCCACAGCTAACCTCCAGGAATCCCCACTGTGGTTCGAACATGTAATTGGTGTTGGCCCCATTTGCAAATTTGAATGAGACCTAAGGCCAGCCATACCTGGGTTGATTTTCGACCGATTTTTCTTTCAAAAATCGGACCTAAGAATAATCGACTGATTTTCACTCTGTTAGTGGAGCAATGGCACTGGCTGATTTTTGTGGTTCCTCCCCATTTCATTTATCGGACATGTTGGAAAATTCTTGAAAAACGACCGATATTTAAAATCATTGGTGGCACCATCGGATTACAGAACGAACAATGTTTTCAATTTTCGATCGAAATATCATACGGAATTTGACCCATGTATGGCCTGCTTAACACACCCTTTTAAGCCTATGTGCTCACCTGGACACCCGCTCCTCTCTCAGGGTCTGTATACAAATCCTGGTGATGTTTATGGACATTATACAGAAGGGAAAATTCTGGGAAAGACACAAGAGCGTTGCACAAATAAGAATCGTGTAGTACTAATACACATTATGTATATCATTTTCTGCATGATACAAACATGAAATGACAGTTGCTCAATCTGCTCTTTTACCATATGACTTGATATCTAAACCACTGACTGACAGTTCACAGAGGAAATAATAACTGGACCGTGGACTGGACTGTGGATGCAATTGACTATTAAGGGATAAATTGCCATTGAAGATGTGTGCATCAAGAAAGCTTACATCTTTAAAAAACTCAAGTTAGCCAAAAAAGCGAATTACATACACAAACTTTCAGAGGTAAAAATATAAAATGTTTAAAAACTAGAGAGTAAGAGCCCATTCACACTTGTGCGACTTGTCATGCGACTTTGGGGGTCGCACCTGAATGATATACATGCGACTTGTGTGCGACTTTGTACAGCAGAAAAAATAATCCTTGGTCAAAGTCACACCAAAGTCATACTCTACAGTCAAAAATCTCTCGATTTTTAAGTTGCACAAGTGTGAATAGAGCCTAAGACAAATATTAAACATGAAGGTGACATCACCCTAGTAATATAATCAATCCTCTATTGATAACTTTAACTGTGCATATGTGAATGGTGGCTGTCCTACCTAAATAAATATGTGATTACCAATTATGTGATTGCAATTCACAAGAACTGAGCTGGATCACACAAATCAGTGATAGCTGTTCAATTACAGTGAAGGAAATAAGTATTTGATCCCCTGCTGATTTTGAATGTTTGCCCACTCACAAAGAAATGATCAGTCTAAAAATCGAATGGTAGGTGTATTGTAACACTGAGAGACAGAATAGCAACAAAAAATTCAAAAGAAATGCATGTCTAACAAATTATGCACTGATTTGCATGTTCATGAGGGAAATAAGTATTTGATCCCCTATCATTCATCAGAATTTCTGGCTGTCGTACAGGTAACAAGCTGAGAATAGAAGCAGTAATTTAAAGGGAGTGCTGCTAATCTCATTTTGTTACCTGTATAAAAGACACCTGTCCACAGGAGCAATCAATCAGATTCCAAACTCTCCACCATGGCAAAGACCAAAGAGCTGTCCAAGGATGTCAGGGACAAGATTGTAGACCTACACAAGGCTGGACTGGGCTACAAAACTATCGCCAAGCTGCTTGGTGAGAAGGTGACAACAGTTGGTGCAATCATTTGCAAATGGAAGAAACACAAAACAACTGTCAGTCTCCCTAGGTCAGGTGCACCATGCAAGAAGATCTTGTCAATGATCTCCAGGCAGCTGGAACGACAGTCACCAAGAAAACAATTGATAACACACTATGCCGACAAGGATTGAAATCCTGCAGTGCCCGCAAGGTCCCTCTGCTCAAGAAAGCACATGTCCAGGCCTGTCTGAAGTCTGCCACTGAACATCTGAATGATGCAGAGGAGGACTGGTTGAAAGTGTTGTGGTCAGATGAGACCAAAATCAAGCTCTTTGGCATCAACTCAACTCGCCGTGTTTGGAGGAAGAGGAATGTTGCCTATGGCCCAACAACACCATCCCAACTATCAAACATGGTGGTAGAAACATTCTGCTTTGGGGGTGTTTTTCTGCTAAGGGGACAGGACAACTGCACCACATCAAAAGGGACGATTGACGGGCAATGTACCATCAAATCTTCGGCGAGAACCTTCTTCCCTCAGCCAGGGCATTGAAAATGGGTCATGGATGGGTGTTCCAGCATGACAATGACCCAAAACACACGGCCAAGGCAACAAAGGAGTGGCTCAAGAAGAAGCACATTAAGGTCCTGGAGTGGCCTAGCCAGTCTCCAGACCTTAATCCGATTGAAAATCTGTGGAGGGAGCTGAAAGTTCGAGTTGCCAAATAGCCACCAAACCTTTGTGACTTGGAGAGGATCTGCCAAGAGGAGTCAGAGGAGGGCCAAAATCCCTCCTGAGATGTGTGCAAACCTGGTGGCCAACTACAGGAAACGTCTGACCTCTGTGATTGCCAACAAGGGATTTGCCACCAAGTACTAAGTCATGTTTTGTCAAGGGATCAAATACTTATTTCCCTCATGAACATGCAAATCAGTGCATAATTTGTTAGACATGCATTTCTTTTGAATTATTTGTTGCTGTTCTGTCTCTCAGTGTCACAATACACCTACCATTCGATTTTTAGACTGATCATTTCTTTGTGAGTGGGCAAACGTTCAAAATCAGCAGGGGATCAAATATTTATTTCCTTCACTGTAGATATACACATTGCTTGATGTGCACATTCACCTGCACAGATTCTCCCTTGTTTTCTTCCTATATTAAAACTGTGATCCATCTGTCCATTTAAATATCACTATGACTAGGATGAAAAGAGCACTGTATGATAGTCCTGCATTAGTAGTCATAGGCATTGCAGAATATCTATGCACAGTAAGATCCATAGAGACCTGTGTGTGGTGCTGTGACAGCCGGAAGATATCATGTGCCAGGGGCAGTGTTTTTGGCTCCATCACCATGTACAGCGGGTGCATCAGACCGAGCAGACCTGCAGCTCTTAAGTCTGTTCCAGGATCCATACCTGCAGGGGAAGAGTATGTGCAAGGTTACAGACCGACTGTTCACAGGAGCACATAGTGATGATATTTTCATATCACTTCAATTAAAAAAAAGCTGCCTAAAACACCTCCTTAATGCAGTGAAAGTTTTCTTTTTGTAAATGAACACACTGCCATATCGATGTGTTTTCTGTAGCTGAGTTGAGATTTAAAGGACTAACCATATGTTCAAGCAGTGCTCCATAAGCACCTGTGCAGAGGCCTGCATTCCCTGGTTCAGGGACCACATTGGCCACTCCGGCGGCATTTCCTTCCATCTTTTCTTGATATAAATGCACTACCTATTTTGGAGACTTTTGATTCCCCTGTGAGGCATTTTTCAATGTTGGTTACTATGACTATACATGGACTAGGTAAGATTCCTTTTACTTAATCGCTGTGGTTTAATACACTGCTCAAAAAATGAAAGGAACACTTTTTAATCAGTATAGCATCAAGTCAATTAAATTCCTGGCAGGGGCGGACTGACCATTTGGAAACTCGGGCACTGCCTGAGGGCCCGGGGTCAGTAGGGGGCCCCATGAGATGCCCCTGGTACCTTTTTCATAGGCTTTTTGGAGTTTGGGCAAGGACACAGGGTCCCCATGATCCCCTATTGCCCGGGGGCCCCATTAGGTGTCAGTCCGCCCCTGATTCCTGGTATATTGATCGAGTCAGTTAAGTAGTGGGGGTGTTAATAAGTTTGAGCTGCTTTGGTGTTAGTGAAATTAACAACAAGTGCACTGGATGGGCAACAATGAGACGACCCCCAAAACAGGAATGGTTTTATAGGTGGAGGCCACTGACATTTTTTTCCCTACTCATCCTTTCTGACTGCTTTTACTAGTTTTGCATTTGGCTAGGGTCAGTGTCACTACTGGTAGCATGAGGCGATACCTGGACCCTACAGAGGTTGCATAGGTAGTCCAACTCCTCCAGGATGGCACATCAATATGTGCCATTGACAGAAAGTTTGCTGTGTCTCCCAGCACAGTCTCAAGAGCATGGAGGAGATTCCAGGAGACAGGGAGTTATTCTAGGAGAGCTGGATGATAGGGCTGTAGAAGGTCCTTAACCCATCAGCAGGACCTGTATCTGCTCCTTTGTGCAAGGAGGAACAGGATGAGCACTGCCAGAGCCCTACAAAATGACCTCCAGCAGGCCACTGGTGTGAATGTCTCTGTCCAACCAATCAAAAAACAGACAGTCCATCCAACGCCACTAGGCTGCACCTCAGACTGTCCAGGAGCTCAGTGATGCCCTGGTCAAGATCTGTGAGGAAATACCCCAGGACACCATCCGTCGTCTCATTAGGAACATGCCTCGATGTTGTCAGGCATGCATACAAGCACGTGGGAGCCATACAAACTACTGAGTACCATTTTTAGTTGCTGCATTGAAATTTCAGCAAAATGGGACTAGCCTGCTGCATCATTTTTTCACTTTGATTTTTGGGGCGTCTTTAAATTCAGTCCTCTGTAGGTTGGTAATTTTCATTTCCATCAAACAATGGGGCATCCTTACGTTCCTAACACATTACCCCGTCCATATCAGTATAGATATCCTGCATATTTTCCCCATTTAGATCTGATTTGTTTTCAAAGTGTTCCTTTAATTTTTTTTGAGCAGTGTATATTGACCTTATGATACCTTTCTGATATCTGACATGGCATTTACAATTTAATTTACCGATGTCAGTTCCATGTTACACACCTTATATCTTTTGTACAGTAGTATTAATGCCCTTGCATCCATTACTATTATTGAATTTGGCATTTACACCTTATATATATTATATATATATATATCTGTCATTGGGCCAACAACGATAGTTGTCTTTTTCGTCTAATACAGAATGGCCATATAATTTGGTGGTGACTTTTTGGGATCCTTGTAGCAGTCCTGTGGACCTTGGAGGTGTCGGTACCATTATTTTGACGATCCTTGGCGGATGGTGGTTTCACTCTCTTTTCCTTTTTTTGGATTGTTTGCATTTAAACGGGCTTCACTGATGCACACAAATGATCGTAAGTGTAACTATTGAGGCATCTGTGTACATTGATCTGCAGTGCTTTATATTTGTTTACAACTTTGTAACATATATTTGTTATTATGGTTATATATACCATTGATGTGCCATTACTGTGTTATAGCACCATTATACCAAACTGTTCCCCTGAGATAGGAATTTCATTCCGAAACATGTTGGGAGTCTTAGGAAGAATACACCACTGCCAATCAAGACATGTATCTACATTGATGTATCTGTAATCCATATGGTATATGTTTGTCAATCAAGTTGGTGTATCATACTTGTGGCTGAACTTATATTAGCTTTTACTGGCCATGTGGCCACTACTTTAGCCACTTCAAGTCTGGATGCTTTCACCCCCTTCCTGTCCAGGCCAATTTTCAGCTTTCAGTGCCATCACACTTTGAATGACAATTGTGCGGTCATGCAACACTGCACCCATATGAAATCTTTAGCATTTTTTGAGACAGATAGAGCTTTCTTTTGGTGGTATTTATTCACCACTGGGATTTTATTTTTTTTGCTATATAAATAAAAAAGACCAAAAATTTTGAAAAAAAAAATATTTTAATAGAAAAGTTTCCACATAATCTTTCTTCATAAATCTTGGCAAAAATGTATTCATCTAAGTTTTTAGTAAAAAAAACAAAACAAAAATAAATTAGTTTATAACCAAAAGTTAGAATTTGTTTGTAAAAAATGTTTACATTATTTTATTTTTTTTATTATATTATTTTTATATATATATAAAAAAATTTTTACACACTGTCACCTTAGCAGTACAGCGTCCCCATAGTGACACTGTACTACTTGTGGGGGGTGATGAAGATTTCTTTTTTCTTTTTTTAACATGGATTGTTTTTACACCCATAAAGGCTGTAAAAGCAATCATTTCTCCTCTCTGGCTGCATTCCTGCAGCTATTGAGAATTACTGTGCGAGCTGTGATTGGTCACAGCTTGTCACATGGTACAAGGCTGTTGTGAATAGCCTTGTACCATGTGACCTCTGTGATCATTCACAGATTTCATTAGTAGTAAGCAATGATGTCAAGAAGAGACATCTTGTTTAATACTATTCATGTGATCACTGATTGGCCAATCAGTGATCATACGAATCAGGACCCCACACAGAGGTCCCGTACAGCGATCCAGAGGACACAGTGGGCACCGATCGTGGTGCTGCGCGCTTCCAGGGAGCACGCACAGGCAATGGATGCGGGGGGACGTTTAAAATCATCCACCAGCATCGCCAGCGCTCCCATCTGGCCATTTATCGCAATGGGCCGGACGGGAAGAGGTTAAATAAAGATTGACAATTGGTCTTTTAATATGTTGTATGCTCTATACCAGGGTTTCTCAACTAGGGTTCCTCCAAAGGTTGCCAGGGGTTCCTTGAGCAATTTTTGCCTCTCAGATAAGTTCCCACTGACACCATTGATCTTTTTAGCTATCAGTAAGGGGGTAATTCTTCCCAATGACCACAAGTGTAAGGGGCATTCTTACCTCTGACATCACACTAATGTATCATGAATTGTGGATAAAGTCATTTTTAGCAGGGGTTCCCTGAGACCGGAAAGTTATGTCAAGGGTTCTCTGCGTTGAAAAGGTTTAGAAAGCCTGCTCTATACTTTTCTGCCTTTAAAGTCCCATTGGGTTTTCTTATCCTATAGGTCTTGTTTCTGTGTCACTTATTAGGGATGGTGGCAGCTGTTACCTGATTAGTACTGTCAGGCTCACTCATATCTTCTATGAGCACTGTTTCAGGTATATGCATATGTTGTCATATGGGCAGCACAGTGGCTAAATAGTTAGTACTTCTGCCTGGCAGCACTAGGGTCGCTGGTTCGAATCCCAACCACGGCACCACCTGCCTGGAGTTTGCATGTTCTCCCTGTGCCTGCGTGGGTTTCCCCCAGGTACTCCGGTTTCCTCCCACACTCCAAAGACATGATGGTAGGTTAATTGGCTCCTGTCTAAATTGTCCCTAGTATGTGTATGTATGAATGTAAGTTAGGGACCTTAGATTGTACACCCCTTGAGGGTTAGGGACTGATGTTAATGTACAATATATATGTAAAGTGCTGCGTAAATTGATGGCGCTATACAGTTACCTGAAATAAATAAAATAAATTACAGCCCCTGACTATGTACAGCTCTACAGAAGACATTTAACACTAGATAAATTAATAAATAGAATAGCTGCAGTTTCACCTTGGAATCCTAATTGTTCCCAGTGTGATCCATATAAGGGGCAGTCAAAGCGGGCGCCTGTCAGCTTCTTGTATATGGTCTGCAGGACTCTAACATGAACTTGCTGACTGCTGTCCAGTGGACCTGAGTAGAAGAAAAAAAATATTGTAAAATATCTGCTTCTGATACATCCTTAACCACTTCCATGCCAGTCTGGACACTTTTACCCCCTTCCCGACCAGGGCAATTTTCAGCTTTCAGTGCTATCACACTTTGAATGACAATTGCGCGGTCATGCAACACTGTACCCATATGAATTTTTTACCATTTTTTTGAGACAGATAAAACTTTATTTTGGTGGTATTTATTCACCACTGGGATTTTTATTTTTTTTGCTATGTAATTGAAAATGTCCAAAAATTTTGAAAAAAGTGTTTTTCTTATAAAATTTTGCAAATAAATAATATTTCATCATAAATCTTGGCCAAAATTTATTGTATTATCTTTTTAGTAAAAAAAAAATAAGCCAAATTAGTGTATAACCAAAAATTATAATTTTGAAATTTTTATATTATTTATTTATTTACCGTATTTTCCGGCGTATAAGACGACATTTTAACCCCTGGAAATCTGTCTACAAAGTCGGGGGTCGTCTTATACGCCGGGTGCTGTGCTGAAACCTTACCGTACTTCCGGGTTGACGCTACTGCGCATGTCTTCGGCAGCAGTAGATGATCGCGGATCACCATAGCTCGCAGAACTGCATGAGACGTCGGATGCAGCAGTGCTCGATTGAGCTTGACTGAAACTGTGATATGCAGAGAAGGGATACACAGTGATTCTGCGCATGTCACAGTTTCAGTCACGATCAATCGACACTGAACGGCTGCATCCGACGTCTCATGCAGTTCTGTGAGGAATGGCGATCAGTGATCGTCTACTGCTGCCGAAGACGTGCAGAAGCGTCAGCTCGGAAGTACCGGTATGGTACTGCTGCATCCGACCTTGTCCCCTTAACTTCTATGAGATACGGTAATTAATTATTAATATTATAATGTCTGTGGCAGTTCTGTGCAATTTATGGTATCTTGGAGACAGGCAGGGCTGGGCAGGCAGGGAGAGCTGACCCACCCAATCCAAGCAGGCTTTGTATGCAGTGTGCACAGTGTGCACAGAAAATACTGGTACATTGCTTGCCGTGATTGGTATGGAAGAGGGGGGTAGTCTTATACGGCGAGTATAGCCCAAACCCTATATTTTAACAGGAAAAGTAGGGGGGTCGTCTTATACGCCCAGTCGTCTCATACGCCGGAAAATACGGTATTTATTTTTAACATACTGTCACTGTAGCAGTACAATGTTACCATGGTGACACTGTACTACTTGTGGGGGGTGATGAAGATTTTTTTTTTTTTTTTTTTACACGGATTGCTTTTACACCCATATACAGTTGTGACCAAAATTATTCAACCCCCACTGAAATTGAGTGTTTTGGCCAGTTTGACATTGCTTTTGATCATTCAGTCATCTTGCTTACATTTACATTAAAGAGGCACTTGTAGGTCAGACAAATATAACATAACAGTTATAATGAAATAACCACAAATGTCTTTTCTGTGCTCACAGCATTATCAGTTTTATTCAACCCCCAAGTGACATTCAATCTTAGTACTTAGTACAGCATCCTTTTACAGTTATAACAGCTTTTAAACGTGAAGCATAGCTTGACACAAGTGTCTTGCAGCGATCTACGGGTATCTTCGCCCATTCTTCATGGGCAAAGGCCTCCAGTTCAGTCACATTCTTAGGCTTGCGCACTGCAACTGCTTTCTTTAAGTCCCACCAGAGGTTCTCAATCGGATTTAAGTCTGGTGACTGCGATGGCCACTCCAAAATGTTCCAGCCTTTCCTCTGCAACCATGCTCTAGTGGACTTGGAGGTATGCTTGGGATCATTGTCCTGTTGAAAGGTCCAACCTCCCAAGCCTCAGGTGTGTGACGGACTGCATCACGTTTCCATCCAATATCTCCTGGTACTGAAGAGAATTCATGGTACCTTGCACACGCTGAAGCTTCCCTGTACCTGCAGAAGCAAAACAGCCCCAAAGCATGATTGACCCTCCACCATGCTTCACAGTAGGCAAGGTGTTCTTTTCATCATAGGCCTTGTTCTTCCTCCTCCAAACATAGCGTTGATCCATGGGCCCAAACAGTTCTAATTTTGTTTCATCAGTCCACAGAACACTATCCCACAACTTTTGTGGTTTGTCCACATGGCTTTTGGCATACTGCAGTCGACTCTTCTTATTCTTTGGAGACAGCAAGGGGGTACGCCTGGGAGTTTCTGGCACGGAGGCCTTCATTACGCAGTGTGCGTCTTATTGTCTGGGCTGAAACTTCTGTACCCACATCTGACAAATCTTTTCTCAGTTCCTCAGCAGTCACACGGGGACTTCTCTCCACTCTACGCTTAGGTAGCGCACAGCAGTCGAAGTCAGCATCTTCTTTCTGCCACGACCAGGTAGCGTTTCAACAGTGCCCTTTGCCTTGAATTTGCGAATGATGCTTCCTAAGGTGTCTCTTGGTATGTTTAACATCTTTGCAATCTTCTTATAGCCATTGCCCTTCCTGTGAAGAGAAATCACCTCTTCTCTTGTCTTCCTGGACCATTCTCTTGCCTTCACCATGTTTGTAACCACACCAGTAAATGTCTAGAAGGAGCTGAGTATCACAGTCATTTTAAAGCTGCCTAATTGGTGCTTATTATGCTTGATTGCTGCTCGGTGACATCCACAGGTGTTTTCAATACCTGATGGAAAGCACCTGTATGAACCTCTGTTCTTCAGAGTGGTAGTCTTTAAGGGGTTGAATAATTGTGGCAATGAAGAAACCACATAAGAACCATTTACTACTGTATTACATAAACAATTGATGTCATTTTAGTTGCATTTGGGTAGTTACAACGTCCTTGTAGGATTTGATTCTGAATACAATTCCAAATGTACACTATAGTCCCTAAACCCCTTTACAGCATTGGGGGTTGAATAATTTTTGGTCACAACTGTAGGATGTAAAAGCAATCATTTCTCTTTTTCTCTGTCTGCATTCTTGCAGCCATTGAGAACTACTGAGTGAGCTGTGATTGGTCACAGCTTGTCACATGGTACAAGGCTGTTGTGAATAGCCTTGTAGCATGTGACCTCTGTGATTATTCACAGATTTCACACGTAGTAAGCAATGATGTCAGAAGTGACATCTTGCTTACTACTTTGCACGTGTTCACTGATTGGCCAATCAGTGATCACATGATCGGGACCTCGCACAGAGGACACAGCGGGCACCGGATCGCGGTGCTGCATGCTCCCAGGGAGTGCGCACAAGCAGGGTGTGGGGAGGCCGTTTATAAATGGCCACCCGACCCTGCAGTTCCACCATCCGGCCGTTTATATACAACAGCCGGTCAGGAAGTGGTTAAAGCTCAGGCAAACCAAAACAATCACCATGACCAATGTTACACCATGTACTACCGCAACGAATGGTAACACACTGCAGACGTGAGCTGTGATGCACTGCACAGTAAATTGCACCCCAACACACATCTAGAATGCCTTGCAACACACCTGTGTTATAAAACACTACAGCACTTAGATGCATATACTTTATGCATTACATTACCCTACACTTAAGGGCTAGTTCACACTAGATGCAGTCCAAAGCATTTTTTTTCTGCATCAAAAATGCATGCACAGTGTTTTCCATGTATTTCAATGGGCCTAGTTCACATCGTTGCAGTCAGTTCCCAGGGCAGAAAGAAAAAGTAGGACATGCTGCATTTTTTTCTGCACAGAACTGTACTACAACATAGCAAACTGCATTAAAACTACGGTGGTGTGAACTGTAAGGAAAAATGTATCCAGGATGCATCCGGAGTGCGTTTTTGTGGTGTGAACTGGCCCTAATAGTCAAACAGATCCAATGTTTTAGTACATTGACAGGACATTCCTTTTAACCACTTAACGACTGCCCAACTGCCTGCAATGTACTGTGGATTGACAGCCACTGTAGGCAAAGCGACTTACTCACACGTGGCTGTCTAGGTTTCGGGTGCGCGCATACTCGCACGCCTTGTGTTTGTACACAGTAGGAGCCTGTCAGCAAGTCCCGGCCAATGATTCACGGATGGGACCTGCCATGAATCCTACAGAGATCTGTACAGAGGGAATGATCTCTGTGTGTCTCATCATTGCAAAACAGGGATGAGAAACGTAGAGATCTGTTCATAAAAACAGCACACTTTACAGACATTACATATAGTTAGGCACACATTTAACCCCTTGATCGTCCTAGATGTTAAACCCTTCCCAGCCAGTGTCATTAGTTATGTGACAGTGTATAATATTATCATGCAACGCTGTACCCAAATGCAATTTATATAATTTGTTTTCACACAAATAGAGCTTTCTTTTGGTGGTATTTGATCACCACTGGGTTTATTATTTAAAAAATAAAATTTCTTCATAAATTTTGGCCAAAATGTGTTTTGCTATATGTCTTTGATAAAAAAAAAATCTCAATAAGTGTGTATTGATTGGTTTGCATGAAAGTTATAGTACCTACAAACTATGTAATATAAACTGGAATTTTTATTTATTTTTTTTATACTACTAATGGCAGTGAACAGCGACTTATAATGGGATTGCGAAAGTGTGGCGGCAATCTGTCACTGGAGCTGCAGGGAACTAACTGCCACTCTGGCACATAGGCACTCTGTGCCTATGATCATGCTCTGTGTACTGCTTTGCTGTAGGACTGAGGCTTGCTAGTAGTAGGAGTAACAGTGCCTTGAAAAAGTATTCATACCCCTTGAAACTTTCCACATTTTGTCATGTTGGAACCAAAAACGTAAATGTATTTTATTGGGATTTTATGTGCTAGACCAACACAAAGTGCCACATACTTGTGAAGTAGAAGGAAAATGATAAAAGGTTTTCAAAACATTTTACAAATAAATATCTAAAAAGTGTGGTGTGCATTTGTATTCAACCGCTATCTGCACCATACAAAAACGCATGTTGGAGACTGAGCAGCCATTGATTATATTTGTCGCTCAGCTGTCACATGTGGCTGTCATGTATTAGTTGTTCACAGCATCCTCTCAGTAGGTGTCCATTGCATGCCTTTCTGTACCCTTACTGCACAGTACACTTCCCATAAGCTGAAAGCAGAACACAGCAGGTTGATTTACTGAAGTAGTAAAGCATGTTCACTTTGCAAAGTGAATTTTCACTTAGCTTAGTGAATGGGGTGAGGCTAACTGAATATTTACTTTGCCAGGAATACCCAATCGTGTGCAAAAATAAAAAAAAAACACCAGCACAGCATCATCTCATTAACTAAGGCAAGTGAAAATGCACTTTGCAAAATAAATATGCTCTACTCCTTTAGTAAATCAACCGCTTTTTTCCTAACTGCTTCAGCGAAGTGTTTCCCTTTCACATGTCAACTGAGGGCTGTTCTTCCCCAATACCTTCGTGGGGAAATCACCAATTGTAACATCTGAAAACTGCGTATAAGCAACCAAAAGGTTGGAGCCTTTGGCCTCTACTGACACAATACCTACACTGTGCTATTGCCAGCACTAAGTCTCTCTCTGCATGGAGGTCTCTATTAAGCCGCGGTGGTCCAAACAGAAGGTGAGCGATTGCAGAGAGGCCAGTGCGCCGTACCGTGGGCTGGATCCTTTTCTGGAGGAGGAAATGGACAATAAGTCAGACATACAGCAGACACCACACTGCAAAGAGGAAAAGAAAGGAGCATTTGCAGATATGATATATTGGTTTCACTTCATTTAATGATCATTCTTAGACCTTGGACACGGAAGTGAGAAACTGCATTTATAGGTATATGGAGGCGCAGTTCTCTACGTTATAAATAATGCTGAAAAGTAAAAAAAATGGCAATTTTTTTAGATGTTAGACCTAATGTCTAGGCAAACAGCTGAAAAAAGATGAAATATATACAAGGAATTTTCTTTCATATGACACAGGATCTTACATAGCTTTCCAACACAGCACAGCCCTATCTGGCAGGACAGGGTACATGATTTTTATCTGTTGCTGATTTGACACTAAAAGGAGAAAATCTCCCTGTCACTCTGCTCTATCTCCAATCTGCATGTACCTTGCTAGCATTTGAGCACTGTGACACAAATGATTGGCTCTTGTGCTGCATCTCCCTTCCCCAGCCTGAGCTCTGCTGTGTAGGGATTGCAATCAGGGCCGACTTTAATATTGATTGGACCCCGGGCAAACATTTTTTGGGCCCCTCCCTCCTCTGCGCTCCTATGGAGATTGATGTGTAGAGCAGGGAGGGTTTTGAGCGACCGCCGGGAGAGGAGCGCTGTCACTTGTAAATACAGAAACACTGCTTCTGTCTTTACAAGGGACAGAAGTGAGCAGCGCCGGAGGTGGCGGAATTAAGGCTAAAATAGAAAAAACCCTGGCGGGCAGCGCAAGCTCAGGGGGCAGCAGCTGTGGACCCCACAACAATGAGTGGGCCCTGGGCAGCTGCTCCATTTGCCCCATGGCAAAGACGGCCCTGATTGCAATAACCTAATGCCATGTCAAATTCAGGTGCTTACACTGGTTCTGTTTAGCTTTAAAAAAGCATACTTGTTATTTAAAGTGATTGCAAGCCTATTTTTTTTTTAAAAAACAAACATGTCATACTTACCTGCTCTTTGTAATTTATTGCACAAACCAGCCCTGATCCTCTTCTCAGGTTCCCCACCAGCACTCCTGGATCCTTCCCACTGCTGAGTGCCCCCATAGCAAGCCGTTTGCCATGGAGGCACTCATGCAGGATCATTCCTGAGCTGTGCTCTGGGTGTTCATTGGCACCCAAAGCGTGGCTCGGCCCTCGGAGAGGCTCGGCCCTGCTCTCCGCTCCCTGCTCACTGGATGTGATTGACAGCAGCAAGAGCCTATGGCATTAATGTAAAAAAAATTAGGCCTTTAAAATCACTTTAAACAGCACAACACTGAACAATCTTACAGAATCCCACAGAAGATTAAGGTCAATGAAAGATGGGATGATAGGAGGGTTGGATGTCCTGCAGGAAGGCAAGGTAGACAGTGAGTGTGAAGGCAGAGTAGGTTTCTCAAGTAGTGGGTCGTGACCAGGGGCGGACTGGGCCGCGGGGCAAGTGTCCCCCAGGCCTTTCTAATGCCCCAATAAAACGTCCGTGCCCTGACAACATAGCTTAATAAAAACCACTGGCAACACTAATATAAATGTTAAGACGGCCCGGACCGCAACTATGGCTGGCCTTAATATTTGGATTTTGTGGCCAGTCAGTCCTGTCAAGGTGGTGCACACGGTGCACTTACAAAGCAGTCCCACGGCCCCTGCGCTCATTCCTCCTTCCTTCCTCCTTCCTTCCTGCAGCACTGGGAGGAAGTGTCATATAACTACACTTTCTTCCAGCCAGCTAGCTGCGCAGGAGGAAAGAAAAGCATTGGACACAAGCAAATGACTCCGCTAGGTACTTTTCCTGGGTTGTAGTTGGGTGATAGAGAGTGCATTTTGAAAGGAATGAAAGAAAACAGGAAAGAGATGGTGATGGGATTAGGGGGAACTGAAAGTGTGCATGAAAGGGGAGAAATGAAGGAAACCAAGAAACGGGAGGGCTTGAAAAGGGGGTCAAGGTGGGTATTAAAGGAGGGTGTGAAATGGGGATAAGGAAACAGTATAAAAGGGGAAAGGAAGGGGGCATGAAAGGGTGGGCTAATGCAGGGCAAGGAAGGGCGGACTGAAGGAGTGCATGAAATGGGAAGGGGGACTGAAACCCCTCACACAATACTGCACAAACTATATTGTTTATTTAAAAAGCCACTGAAGACATTAATACTCATAATTTAGTGTAGAGGTAAAGGAGGCTTTGCTCAGTTTAATGGGCTATTAGTGTGAGGTATAGAGGTAGAGGGGACTTGCCCTCCAGAGGAATTACCCCCCTTCCTGACCAGGCCATTTTGTGCGATACGGCGCTGCGTTAGTTTAACTGACAATTGCCCGGTCATGCAACGTTGTAAATAAATGCAATTTATGTTCTTTTTTCCCCCACAAATAGAGCTTTCTTTTGGTGGTATTTGATCACATGTGCATTTTTTTTTTATTTTTTGCACTATAAACAAAAAAAGACAGACAATTTTGAAAAAAAAAATATTTTTTTACTTTTAAAACATGTCCAATAAAAAAATTAAATTTAGTCATAAATTTAAGCCCTTCTGTAGCCATTCTGCTACATGTCTGCTAAAAAAAAAAGCCCAATACGTGTAATTTAATTGGTTTACGTGAAAGTTATAGCGTCTACAAATGGCGGTATAGATACTGGAATTTTTTTTTCTAACTAGTAATGGCAGTGATCAGCGACTTATTGCGGGACTGAGGTGGGCATTCTGACTCTGGGGGGAACTGACTAACTGCCACTGACATTCCCAGTGACACTAATACAGTGATCAGTGCTAATAAAATTACTAATAATAACACTGGGCAGGAAGGGGTTAACATCTGAGGCAAAGGGTTAATGTGTGCTGTGTGTGTTTTACTAGGGAAACAAGCTGCTTTGTAATGCTCTGCTGTGCAGAGCAATACAAAGCAGCCTGTTCATGCTGGCACGGGAGAGATCCGTATTGTTTACATACAGACCTTTCCCGTCATCTTCATGATCAATCACCGAGTCCCGGCTGAGAATCAGCAGCTGGGACCCGGTGACTGACATGCCGAGGAGCCAATAGCAGCGTAGGTAGGGAGTATGCACGCACCCCTTACCTGGCAATACAAAATCACACACATATATATACATATATATGTGTGTGTGTGATTTTGCGCATCCCTGCCACCCTGTAGCAGTACTTCTGCTTTAGGGCGGTCAGGAATCGGTTAAAGCTTGGAGGTATTGGTGAATTTTTGTTATTTTATGTATGCTTAAAATAATTCTTACTGCACTATCAATTTTGGAAGGAAATAGTTTGTTTACTGTTTAAAAATGCATATACATTGTAGAATATGGCACAAGTTGTTTTGTGGAATAAATGATGTTTCGGAAATTCAATTATTTTTGGATCGCGATTTAATGACCAAGGACAAATGTGGGTCCTGAGGTTCCACAGGTTGAGAACCACTGGTCTATAGCATTGTATGTTCACAACTACTTTACTGTCAGTCACTGACTGCTATTCTTAACATATCTTTTTTTTTTTTAATAACACTAATACTATAGACAGTAAAAGCACATCAGATACATACCATGTACTCAGAGAGGTCCGCTGTCTGGAAATATTGCAATGCTTCATTGAAGGAGATCAAAGGCGTTTGTCCAGGTAGGTCACTCAGAAGCCCTGCTTACATAAATTTTGAAATAGGTATATATGTCTCAATGTTGTGGCAGATAAAAGCACAAAAACAAGGTATGGATGACAAAAGTACAGCTCTGTGTATTATTCGTATTGTATTGACGGCACATGTACAGCTCTGTGTATTATTCGTATTGTAATGACGGCACATGTACAGCTCTGTGTATTATCCGTATTGTAATGACGGCACATGTACAGCTCTGTGTATTATCCGTATTGTAATGAAGGCACATGTACAGCTCTGTGTATTATCCGTATTGTAATGAAGGCACATGTACAGCTCTGTGTATTATCCGGATTTCTGTTTGGCTATAGGGCATGAAGTGAAGGGAAATTTCCCCAATGGTACACAGATGGTGAAAAAAAAAAATCTGACGGGGTTATAACCCTCTCTTTCTCTATCCCAGAAGAACAAAAAAAAGTTTTGCCTATAGTTCTACTGTAACATCTCTTCCATGGCATTTGACAGCAAATCACACCTGTAGCCATGTAAAAGATGGAATCATATAACTAGAACAGGGTGGTTCCACAACTTTCACACCTCCCATACTGTTCTTGGACAATAAAACTGTCTTTCTATGGTAATTGGATTACAGTGTTGGTGCTACATGTGTGGACATAAATGCTGGGTTATCATCCTGACACTCATTGAAACTGAAGAGGTGGCTTGAAGCTACTAAACGTCTTCAACATTACAGAACAAGTTCAACTGAATGTGGCTAATTTCTACTAGTTGTGGTCACCTGTAGCTACTCCTATACTTCTGCAATACTTTTGCACCTACACAAAAAAAAAGGTTTACACATACCTGATTTCTCACAGTACAGCCCTAAAATAAACAAAAGACACACATAAATACATATCAAATATACAGTATAAAGGGAGGTGGCAGCTGGGCTTTATTCACCACAAGGTACTTGTGAGCCAGACAAAGAGATGCAGAAGCAAGGTGTAAAATTTACAAACTGAGATTTTAGATGTTCCTATTTTGTTTCCCTCTTCTGTCCACTTTTGGACATGTGTATATCCATTCAGCAGAACTACTACAGTAGGAATGGGTGCAGGGGTTAGTAAGTGGGTCAGAAGAATCTTTATAGCTCAAGGAACTTGAAACCATATTTCCTTTCTTTTATATGTTGGTCTGTACAGTTAAAAATTAGCTATGAATATAAAGCAGAAAGTAGGCCTTCAATTGCATTCAAGGTTTTGTTTTTTATTAAAAATAGTTGCACGATACAAAGGGGAGAGCTAGTGCAAAATATTTGTCATCATCAAATGCCAAAACCCAAATGAAATAATAAAAAAAAAAAGTATGCACATACATTGAATAGTGAGGAGGAAGCTTAAATCTAAGTGTCTAACTGCTCTCCAACATCTCTGCCTGGATGGCATACTGCAAAGAGCTGCTGTCAGTGAGGAAGCAGCAGTCTCTCTGCAGAAGTCCCATATGCCCCACCAGTGTATAAAAGCTTTTCAATTGTCAGGGAGCATTAACGTTCTTTGATTGGCAAACCAAAGTTGTAACTAGGACAACTAGTTGCTGGGGAGTTTATTACGACCTCCCTCCCCCTCCATCCTACGCTCCCTCAACCACATCTTTAATCTCTCCCTCTCTTCCGGTACTTTCCCCTCCCCTCTGAAGCATGCACACATCAACCCCATACTTAAAAAGCCCTCCCTGGACCCCAATGACCCGAACAACCTCAGACCCATCTCCCTGCTCCCATTTACATCTAAACTCCTCGAGCGCCTCGTCTACACCCGCCTATGCTCTCACCTCAACGACAACCACCTCCTCGATCCCCTACAGTCCAGCTTCCGTCCCCTACACTCCACCGAAACTGCCTTACTCAAACTCTCCAAAGACCTTCTAACTGCCAAAGCTAATGGCCACTATTCAGTGCTCCTACTCCTTGACCTCTCTGCGGCCTTCGACACAGTTGACCACCCCCTCCTCCTCAAAATACTACACTCCCTCGGCCTCAGAGATTCTGCTCTCTCCTGGCTCTCATCCTACCTGTCACAACGCTCTTTCAGTGTTACCTATAATGCTACCACCTCCCCCTCACTCCCCCTCTCTGTTGGGGTCCCTCAAGGCTCTGTCCTTGGGCCCCTTCTCTTCTCCATCTACACCTCCTCCCTTGGCCAATTCATACACTCTCACAGCTTCAACTACCACCTCTATGCCGACGACACACAAATCTATCTCTCAACCCCCCACCTCACCCCCTCGGTCTCTGCCCGAATCACACACCTACTGAGCGACATATCAGATTGAATGTCGCTCCACTTCCTTAAACTGAACCTCTCCAAAACCAAGTTCCTTGTCTTCCCCCCAGCCCGGACACCACCCCCCATTGACTTCTCCATCACATCCAACAACGCCAATATCAAACCCGCCCTGCAGGCCAGAGTACTTGGTGTCATTCTGGACTCCAACCTATCCTTCCAACCCCAAGTCCAATCTTTAACAAACTCGTGCAGACTCCACCTCCGCAACATCGCCAAAATACGCACGTTCCTAACCCCAGAAACCACTAAACAGCTCATCCACTCCCTCATCGTATCACGTCTCGACTACTACAACTCCCTCCTTACTGGCCTGCCTCGCCGCTGGCTATCCCCGCTTCAGTCGATCCTGAATACGGCTGCCAGACTCACCTTTCCAACCGCTCCGTTTCCGCCACCCCCCTCTGCCAATCCCTCCACTGGCTTCCGATTGCGCAACGGATCAAATTTAAAATCCTAACACTGACGTACAAAGCTGTCCACCACACTGCCCCGACTACATCACTGACCTAATATCCAAGTACCGCCCAACACGCACACTCCGCTCCTCACAAGACCTCCTTCTCTCTAGTTCCCTGGTCTCCTCCTCCCATGCCCGCCTCCAGGACTTCTCCAGGGTGTCACCCATCCTCTGGAACTCCCTGCCCCAACCCATCAGATTATCACCTACTCTCCTCTCCTTTAGGCGCACCCTGAAAACCCATCTCTTCAGGGAAGCCTACCCTACCCCCTGCTAACTTGACCGACCTCCTCCACTCTTCCTACCACTCCATCCCCCACAGCTATCTCCTCCTGTACCACTATCCCGTCCCTTCTAGATTGTAAGCTCGAAAGAGCAGGGCCCTCGATCCCCTCATGTTTTGCATTGTATTGGTATTGTTCTGTCACATGTTCTGTCCCCCTTTGTAATGTACAGCGCTGAGCGAACTATTGGCGCTTTATAAATACTGTATAATAATAATAATATTGACTGTAGATAAAAAACGTCAAATGCCAAAAACAGTAGCTGTAAAAACATCTTGTGTGCATGAGGGCTTATACTACATACAACAGTAAGACACATACATTTATAAACCTCCTGCTCACTATTCAATGTATCTGCACTTCAGCTGGGCTGTGTGTTGTGCCTACGGCAGCATGAGGTCTAAACACAGCCCTGGGAGGCAATTGATCAATGTACACAGCACCTGACTCTGAGATTTGGTATGTATAACCACTATTTAGCTGCATTTTGTGCTGATACTCTTCTAGAGAATGTAAAGATATATATAGAATAAACATAAAATACACTATATGTCAAATGAATGTTCATACACATTTTTGTATCTGCCTTTCAGTTGTTCAAAAGCAGAAGCTGAAGATGGCATGTGCAATCTCCGATAGCTATATGGAGACCCAAATGAGTTACCAAAGAACACACCGCCTTCCTCTACTAGCAAAGGCAGCTACATGTTAACCAGTGAATCTATACTACCAGAAAAGCACAAAGGTAGTGCTTGGCTTTCTTATTACAAAGTCCAGTATGCTTTTTAAACACATTACATCTCATTTATACATGATGTAATCATTTTTTTATTTGTAAAATAAAGATTTTATACTAGTTATCTTAAAAATAAATATATATAAAACCTCAGTGTATGAACTTTTAAACTTTCCCAAAAAAAAAAAAAAAAAGTTGGCCAAAAACCTTCAAGTTTCCTTCTATTGTTATAGTTAAAGCGGCGATCTACCCAAAAGGGGAAGTTCCACTTTAAGCCTTTGTCCCCCGCTCCCCATTAGATTTGGCACACGTACTCGCTCCCACTTCCGCTGTGATCGCCTAGGCGATCGGAAGAGGAAATTGTCCTCCCCCCTCCCTCCCCGTAGTCTTCTGAGACAGTGACAGGTCTCAAAAGACTATGGACCCATTCAGCAAGTGCAGCGCTTCTCGCGCATGCACAATGGGCACCCGGCTGTGAAGCTGCAAACTGTCACAGCCGGGTGCCCACAATAAAGATGCCGGCACCAGGGAGAGAAGAAGGCCGGAGAAACCAGACGTGGTGAGGACACTGCTGGACCAAGGGACAGTAAGTGTCTGTATTTTAAAAGTCAGCAGCTATAGTTTTTGTAGCTGCTGACTTTTATTTTTTTTTCCCTAGGTGGAACTCAGCTTTAAGGCATGTATTCGTTGTTCAAAAAACACCCAATATCACATTTGTGCAACTCACCTGTCTGTATATTTTCAAGTGCATCCCATTCCTGCTCTGCTTTTAGCAAATCTTCATTTTCTGTGGACAAAAGAATATGTTATTCCCAATTTTAACTTAGGGTTCCAAACGTTATACAAAAATATATGTTTTCAAGTTGATAGAGTAGATAAAAATACTGTATTCATACAATCAGTAGGAGATGCACTCTACGGGGGGAATAATCACAATACAAAAGTAAACTTTAAAGCAAAGGTACCACCGGAGAAGGAGGTTTATTCCATTCAAACCCTGCTGTGGCCAGACAGAAGATGAGCAGAGAGGCCTGTGGCAATGCGAGACAGGTAATACTGGCCATAGACAGAGCAAATTTTTTTCCTGCAACCACGGATGAGTGTTGATAGGGGAATCCCTCCTGCATTGTGTTTTTCTGGCATGGGGGTGGGGGAAGCCGTGCCCACTGAAAGAACACAGTGATTATTGATAGCGGCTGCAATAATCGCATGTAAAATTGAGCAGGCTGGTTGTACCCAAGTTGATCGATTGATCTACTTGGGTACGTTCAGCCTGCCCATACATGGTTTGAATCTCGGCCGGTCCCTGCTGAACTGGCCGAGATTCAAACGGTCTATGGCCAGGTTAAGAGTGTTGCTGTGCGGGCGAGGAGGGAAGTCTGTGGCAACGTGTCAGAAGAGGAAGGAATACTATCAACTTCTACAGTGGTGCAAAAAAGCACTTTCAGCCCATATCCATTATATAGCTATAGATTGAATATGTTTTGGTAAATACATGGAAAAAAATAAAATTGTGCCTGTGACCAAATATATATGGACTTAACTATATATATATATATATATATATATATATATATATATATACACACACATACACACACACACACACTGTAGATAGATAGATAGATAGATAGATAGATAGATAGATAGATAGATAGATATATAGTATATATACACACACAAGGGCTCTTTAAAATGTTTCTGCACTTTTAAAAAGCTCTATTATAGATAGAAATGCAGAAACTTTTGAAGACCCTACATATGCAGTATATAAATAAATAAATATATATATACAGTGGGGCAAAAAAGTATTTAGTCAGACACCAATTGTGCAAGTTCTCCCACTTAAACAGATGAGAGAGGCCTGTAATTGGCATCATAGGTAGACCTCAACTATGAGAGACAAAATGAGAAAAAAAATCCAGACAATCACATTGGCTGATTTGGAAAGAATTTATTTGCAAATTTTGGTGGAAAATAAGTATTTGGTCAATATCAAAAGTTCATCTCAATACTTTGTTATATATCCTTTGTTGGCAATGACAGAGGTCAAACGTTTCCTGTAAGTCTTCACAAGGTTGGCACACACTGTTGCTGGTATGTTTTCCCATCCTCCATGCAGATCTCCTCTAGAGCAGTGATGTTTTGGGGCTGTCGCTGGGCAACACGGACTTTCAACTCCCTCCAAAGGTTTTCTATGGGGTTGAAATCTGGAGACTGGCTAGGCCACTCCAGGACCTTGAAATGTTTCTTACGAAGCCACTCCTTCGTTGCCCGGGCGGTATGTTTGGGATCATTGTCATGTTGGAAGACCCAGCCACGTTTCATCTTCAATGCCCTTGCTGATGGAAGGAGGTTTGCACTCAAAATCTCACGATACTTGGCCCCATTCATTCTGTCCTGTACATGGTCAGTCGTCCTTGTCCCTTTGCGGAGAAACAGCCCCAAAGCATGATGTGGCCACCCCCATGCTTCACAGTAGGTATGGTGTTCTTTGGATGCAACTCAGCAATCTCTCTCCTCCAAACACGACGAGTTGTGTTTTTACCAAACAGTTCTATTTTGGTTTCATCTGACCATATGACATTCTCCCAATCCTCTTCTGGATCATCCAAATGCTCTCTAGCAAACTTCAGACGGGCCTGGACATGGACTGGCTTAAGCAGGGGGACACGTCCGAGTCCCTGGCGGCGTAGTGTGTTACTGATGGAAGCCTTTGTTACGTTGGTCCCAGCTTTCTGCAGGTCATTCACTAGGTCCCCCCGTGTGGTCCTGGGATTTTTGCTCACCGTTCTTGTGATCATTTTGACCCCACGGGGTGAGATCTTGCGTGGAGCCCCAGATCGAGGGAGAGTTTCAGTGGTCTTGTATGTCTTCCATTTTCTAATTATTGCTCCCACAGTTGATTTGTTCACACCACGCTGCTTGCCTATTGCAGATTCAGTCTTCCCAGCCTGGTGCAGGTCTACAATTTTGTTTCTGGTGTCCTTCAACAGCTCTTTGGTCTTCACCATAGTGGAGTTTGGAGTGTGACTGTTTGAGGTTGTGGACAGGTGTCTTTTATACTGATAACAAGTTCAAACAGGTGCCATTGATACAGGTAATGAGTGAAGGACAGAGGAGCCTTTAAAGAAGAAGGTACAGGTCTGTGAGAGCCAGAAATCTTGCTTGTTTGTAGGTGACCAAATACTTATTTTCCACCATAATTTGCAAATAAATTCTTTCCAAATCAGCCAATGTGATTGTCTAGATTTTATTTCTCATTTTGTCTCTCATAGTTGAGGTCTACCTATGATGCCAATTACAGGCCTCTCTCATCTTTTTAAGTGGGAGAACTTGCACAATTGGTGGCTGACTTAATACTTTTTTGCCCCACTGTATGTAAAAGTGGTGATTTCAAGCGATTAAATGATAGAATTAAAATATTCACGTAGAATTTGATTTTTTTTTTTGTTCCCCAAACTGTTTTGACTTTTCAAAAAAAAAGTTTATAATGCAGAGCATAGAAGTAAAGAATTTACATTAGCATGAAAACACACAATCTTGTTATTGTTCTCCCCATTTTGTATAATTTATATTTATTGGCTCTCAGTAGTTCAGAGAGAACCTTACTTTCGTTCAGCAGCTTCCGCTGATGTCACAAGTAGCTATACACTGAAAATAGTATTTATTTTTTCTTTTACATGTAAAATTTTGACATTTTGAACATACCCGTCTCTCTGCTTAGTTCCTCTTCTTTGCTCACCAGAGTCTGCAACACACTGTTCTGCTTTACTGCAGAAATCTGAAAAAAAATATCAGAAGTGACCTTATAACTACAACAAGCAGTATCACATTCATGATCATTGACAGTATCCGAAATAAAGATGAAAGGGGCACACTGGGAAAGGCACCTTTTCTCCGTCTTTCCTTCTATGGTGACTTTATTTCCAAACAAATATACTTTGAAATCTTATAGAATTGTGTTTATATCACATAACATTTTAAATTGAGGAGTCACTTCATACAAAAAAAACTGGCTATGCCATTCAGCTCTTTCTGATGTAAAAGTGAACCTTTAACTAAAATGTAGGCTTCATGTTGATAAACCAGGGGTCCTCAAACGTTGTAAACAAAGCGCCAGTTTGATGTCCTGCATACTTCAGGGGGGCCAGGCTGTGGTCAGTAAAAATGCCCCAGCCTCAGTTGTAGTCTCAGGCTTGGTCCATTGGAGTAAATAAATTACATAGCTCCTGTGGTCAGAAGAATGAATAGTGCCTCATCATGGGTGTCAGTGGGAGGAATAGTGTCCCATCATTGGTGTCATTTGGAGGAATAGTGCCCCGTCATTGGTGTCATTTGGAGGAATAGTGCCCCATCATTGGTGTCAGTGGGAGGAATAGTGCCCCCTCATTGGTGTCAGTGGGAGGAATAGTGCCCCCTCATTGGTGTCAGTGGAAGAGACAACACCCCCTCATTAGTGTCAGTGGGTGGAATAGTGCCCCCTCATTGGTGTCAGTTGGAGGAATAGTGCCCCTTCATTGGTGTCAGTGGGAGGAATTGTGACTTATTATTGGTGTCAAAAGGGACAAATAGTATCCCATTGTTGGTGTCAAAGGGACAAATAGTATCCCATTGTTGGTGTCAAAGGAACAAATAGTGTCCCATTGTTGGTGTCAAAGGGACAAATAGTGTCCCATTGTTGGTGTCAAAGGTACAAATAGTATCCTATTGTTGGTGTCAGTGGAAAAAAGGTGCTTCATCTTTTGGTGTCAGTGGAAGGAATAGTACCTCAAATAAGTGGAAGGCATACTGCTCCAAAGGCCAGATAAAGGCCCTCATTCGTGGGCTGCAGTTTGGTGGCTACTGATCTACTCTATTAAAGTGGAAGTTTAGTCAAAATTTAACTAAGACTAAACCTACTCCCACCTCCATTCTAAGAATATTCTATTTACCCTGTAAAGGAGAGATCTGTATACTTACCTATACTGAAGCTGCTCTGGTCCAGTCACATGATCTCTCTAGTGTCAGGTGAGAGGGATGAAATCCATCAGGTGGCCTAAAGCCTAGGCAATGTAGTCACTGGCTACAAAGAACAGTGTGGGCATTTCATGTCATTACAGACTGCAGAGAGCCATTTTATCCAATCAGATCCCAACTGGCAGATCTGCACTGCGATAAGAGGTCCAGAAAGACCCAGCACTGTGCAATGGTAAGCAGGAAGAAGAGCTAACATAATGAAAACGTTTGGCTATCCCACATGCACACTCTGTATCATTAAAACACATACAGAGGATATTAACATACAGTGGGTATAAAAGAGACCCCCCCCCCCCCCCTTTAAATAATCACATTTTGTTGCTTTGCAGGCTGAAATGAAGACAGACACAGATTTTGTTTTATCCAGCTGTATTTACTTAGTGCAACTTACTGTATAACATCCAAGTGAAAAATAAAACACCAATAAGTCAGAAAAAAAGAACTCAAGAACAGAATCACTGAGCTGGAAAAAGGATCACCCCCTCCAAAAAATTACATGTAAACTCAAATCAGGTGTAGCTAATCACCTTCTCAATGGCATACGACTTACAACATCAAAGTGAAAGATATAACACAAACATGTCAGGAAAAAATTATAAAACAAAAAATGGAATCACTGAATTGGAAAAAGGATCACCCCCTTGTGTCTGTATTTTGTTGAACCACCTTTTGTTTTAATTCCAGTCTTTAGTTTGTTGGATATGTCTCTACTAACTTTGCACAGACTTTTCCAATGTTTGCCCACTCTTCTTTGCAGAACTGCGCAAGCTCAGTTAAATTTGATGGTGACTGTGACCTGCAGTCTTCAAGTCATTCCACAGATTTTCAGTGGGGCTTAAGTCTGGGCTCTGACTAGGCCATGTAAGGACATTCACCCTTTTCTCCTTCAACCACTGTGTGGCCATTTTTTTTGTGTGCTTTGGGTCATTGTCATGTTGGAAGGCAAACCTTGTTCCCATGGACAACTTTCTGGTAGAAGACAGCAGATTTTCCTCAAGCATTTGATGGTATTGTGCCCAATCCATTTTTCCTCTATCCTGACAAGTGCTCCAGTCCCTGCTACAGAGAACTCCCCCCCCCCCCCAATCACAGGATATTATCACCTCCATGCTTTACTGTAGGAATGGTGTTATTTGGATGGTGAGCTGTATTGGATTTCCATCAGACATCTCATTTAGTGTTGAGGCCAAATCATTAAATTTTGTCTCATCTGACCATAACATCTTTCTCCATGTGGCCTCAGAATCTTCAAGGTGTGTTTTGGCACAGTTCAGTTGTGACTGCTTGTGGCTTTTCTTGGGGAGTGGCTTTTTCCATGCAACCCTCCCATACAAGTCACATTTGTGGAGAATCTGTGATATTGTCACATGCACACAATGACCGCTCTTTGTCAAATTCCAGCAACTGCTTCAGAGCTGCTTTAGGCCTCTTGGTAGCCTCTCTGACCAGTTTCCTTCTGGCTCTTTCATCCAATTTGTCCTGATCTAAGGAGAGTCTGTGTTGTACCAATTACCTTCCACTTCTTAAGAATAGACTTCACTGTGCTTTTAGGCATTGATAAAGCCTTTGAAATTTATTTGTATTCACCTCCTGACTTGTGCCTGTCCTCAACTTAAACCTGGAGATCTTTTAACAGTGATTTGCCATCCACCGTTGATTGCTTCAGTTGCACTATTAGGGACTGAAATGCTCCAGGAAAGTGCTTTTCATGCTGAGCTAATCAAAACGACCACAGCTGATAACAGTTGAAAGTCAAATGGCTTTTTGTGCCATTGAGAAGGTGATTAGCTACACCTGATTGAGTTTACAAGTCATTTTTTGGAGGGGGTGATCCTTTTTCCAACTCAGCGATTCTGTTCTTGAGTTCTTTTTTCTGACATATTGGTATTTTATTTTTCACTTGGATGTTATACAGTAAGTTATACTAAGTAAATACAGCTGGATAAAACAAAAACTGTGTGTCTTCATTTAAGGCTGCAAAGCAACAGAATGTGATTATTTTAAAGGGGGTGATTCTTTTCTATACCAACTGTAAGAACATTAACTAGGACCTAACATTAGATATTTTTATGCATAAAAAGTCATTCGTAACAATTAGCCATTTTTTTACCATTCAGATTATAGTGCTTCCCCCCTTGACAATTGTCTTCATCTTCCTTTCTCACCAGAACATGGATGGTGCCACCTTTGTTTAGGTATCACCCCCAGTAAGCAATTAATTCCTCGCCTAAGATGCTTGCCTATGGATAACACAATCATGTAAACTCTGGTCCCCGATGCAGTAGCCTGGGAGTTAGAAAATGCAGCCACCTGCTGCCTTTCATTCAGCAAGTGTAAAAATCCATCACACTTACACAGCTCTGGTCCACTTCTGTCTTTTAGCCTATGATCTCCTAATGTAAAAAAAATCCATCAAACTTACAAAGCTTAGGCCTACCATCCCCTCTCACCCCACAAGTGTAAAAATCCAATCGTAATCTGACACAGGTGAAGGAAATCATCTGCCAACCTGCACCGACAGTTGTCATCATTCTTTGAGCATGAGCGGTGGGGTTAAGAGCACCAAAGGAAGGGTGCAACCAAGCATACATCACTTTTGGTCCAAAACACTCATTTATGCAGCCTGAGTGGAAGACTAGGAGATCATGGCTGAGTGGAAAACTAGAAGATCATGGCTGAGTGAAAGACTAGGAGATCATGGCTGAGTGGAAAACTAGAAGACCATGGCTGAGTGAAAGACTAGAAGATCATGGCTGAGTGAAAGACTAGGAAATCATGGCTGAGTGGAAGACTAGAAGACCATGGCTGAGAGGAAGACTAGGAGATCATGGCTGAGAGGAAGACTAGGAGATCATGGCTGAGAGGAAGACTAGGAGATCATGGCTGAGTGGAAGACTAGGAGATCATGGCTGAGTGGAAGAAGAGATCACGGCTAGGAGATCACGGCTGAGTGGAAGAATAGGAGATCACGGCTGAGTGGAAGACTAGGAGATCACGGCTGAGTGGAAGACCAGGAGATCACGGCTGAGTAGGAAGACCAGGAGATCACGGCTGAGTGGAAGACCAGGAGATTACGGCTGAGTGGAAGGAGATCACGGCTGAGTGGAAGACTAGGAGATCACGGCTGAGTGGAAGACTAGGAGATCACGGCTGAGTGGAAGACTAGGAGATCACGGCTGAGTGGAAGACTAGGAGATCACGGCTGAGTGGAAGACCAGGAGATCACGGCTGAGTGGAAGACCAGGAGATCACGGCTGAGTGGAAGACCAGGAGATCACGGCTGAGTGGAAGACCAGGAGATCACGGCTGAGTGGAAGACCAGGAGATCACGGCTGAGTGGAAGACTAGGAGATGGAAGACTAGGAGATCACGGCTGAGTGGAAGACTAGGAGATCATGGCCTTACTGGACATAATCTGTTTCGCACCCTACAGCATATGCATCTTGCATGTCCATCAAGTGTGTTAATGACCAATATGGTCTGCATTCCACTCAGGGATGCACAGGGCAGCATAAGGAGGGTGAGAAAATTGGATGCTGCTTATCAGAGGCTAACTACGTAACATCACACAATGCCACCGAGACCAGCCAAGCTACTTAGTGTGAGAAGTGAGACTGACAGGCATCTGTGACGCACACAATCCCTCTACTGGGACTGACAAGCACCTGTGGCCTGCACCTCACCTCCTCCTGACAAACATGTAAGCATCTGCTTACAGTCTGATATGGAGAGTGTGTAGATGATGACAAGCCCAAACTTCTACAGAGACACAGTGACAGAAGAGATTGCGATGGGTAGCATCTGTTGTATGCATACTAACCTGCACTGACAGCAATGTGCTCTGTAAAGTGTCAGTGTTCTGACATATCAGACTGACAGCTCTAAGTCAGCACAGATTGAGGCACACATTTATAAAATCATCATTTATTTGGAGAACAGATAACTTTAGCTAGTGTAGCTAGTTTAATTAAATACTACACCAAAAAAATTAACCCCAGCAAGGAGGATATGTGTGTGTATATATATTATTTTATTGGGATTTTATGTGATAGACCAACACAAAGTGGCACATAATTGTGAAGTGGAAGGAAAATGATAAATGGTTGTCAACATTTTTTTACAAATAAATATCTGAAAAGTGTGGTGTGCATTTGTGTTCAGCCCCCTGAATCAATACTTTGTAGAACCCCTTTCGCTGCAATTACAGCTGCAAGTCTTTATGGAGATGTCTCTACCAGCTTTGCACATCCAGACAGCGAAATGTTTGCACATTTTTCTTTGCAAAATAGCTCAAGCTGTGTCAGATTGGATGGAGAGCATCTGTGAACAGCAATTTTCAAATCTTGCCACAGATTCTCAATCTGATTTCGGCCTGGACATGACTGGACCATTCTAACACATGAATATGCTTTGATCTAAACCATTCCATTGTATCTCTGGCTGTATGTTTAGGGTTGTTGTCCTGCTGGAAGGTGAACCTCCACCTCAGTTTCAAGTCTTTTGCAGACTCTAATAGGTTTTTTCTTCTAAGATTGCCCTGTATTTGGCTCCATCTTCCCATCAACTCTGACCAGCTTCTCTGTCCATGATGAAAAAAAACATCCCCACAACATGATGCTGCTGCCACTATGTTTCACGGTGGGGATAGTGTGTTCAGGGTGATGTGCAGTGTTAGTTTTTCACCACACATAGAGTTTTGCTTTTAGGCCAAAAAGTTAAATTTTGGTCTCATCTGACCAGAGCACCTTCCATTTGTTTTCTGTATCCCCCCCGATTACTTCCCCTTTTGGCATTCTACCTTTTTACTCGCATTGTGGATCATACTGCAGTGGAAAGAGATTGGTGAAGCAATTTTTTGGTGACTTCTAGCCATCCCTATACACATCCCTATATGTGCTTCTGACAGCTTGCTTGGTGGTCATATTGTTCCGGTAAGAGGCTAAATGTGTGGAAGGTGGAAGAATTCTCCCCTTTTCAAAGCACTTCATTATTTTTTCTGGCACTGGGTCCTTTGTGACTTTCAACTGTGATATTTGGACTTTTTTGCATGAATAATATTGCCATTCTATATAGGTTTTTATTTTTCATAGATCATTGGTTCTGCATTAGTTCTGCATTTATTTCCTATATCTTATTGTTTGTGGCCAACATTCTTGCTAGCTGCTTTTTTTACCATTTATATAACCATTAGCTCTTAGCGCAGGTTGTGAATGTAAATGTGAATTACATTCACTGATGTGAATGTAAAAAATATATATATATACAGTCAGGTCCATAAATATTGGGACATCGACACAATTCTAACCTTTTTGGCTCTATACACCACCACAATGGATTTGAAATGAAACAAACAAGATGTGCTATAACTGCAGACTGTCAGCTTTAATTTGAGGGTATTTACATTCAAATCAGGTGAACGGTGTAGGAATTACAACAGTTTGCATATGTGCCTCCCACTTATTAAGGGACCAAAAGTAATGGGACAATTGGCTTCTCAGCCGTTCCATGGCCAGGTGTGTGTTATTTCCTCATTATCCCAATTACAATGAGCAGATAAAAGGTCCAGAGTTCATTTCAAGTGTGCTATTTGCATTTGGAATCTGTTGCTGTCAACTCTCAAGATGAGATCCAAAGAGCTGTCACTATCAGTGAAGCAAGCCATCATTAGGCTGAAAAAACAAAACAAACCCATCAGAGAGATAGCAAAAACATTAGGCGTGGCCAAAACAACTGTTTGGAACATTCTTAAAAAGAAGGAACGCACCGGTGAGCTCAGCAACACCAAATGACCCGGAAGACCACAGAAAACAACTGTGGTGGAAGACCGAAGAATTCTTTCCCTGGTGAAGAAAACACCCTTCACAACAGTTGGCCAGATCAAGAACACTCTCCAGGAGGTAGGTGTATGTGTGTCAAAGTCAATAATCAAGAGAAGACTTCACCAGAGTGAATACAGAGGGTTCACCACAAGATGTAAACCATTGGTGAGCCTCAAAAACAGGAAGGCCAGATTAGAGTTTGCCAAACGACATCTAAAAAAAGCCTTCACAGTTCTGGAACAACATCCTATGGACAGATGAGACCAAGATCAACTTGTACCAGAGTGATGGGAAGAGAGAGTATGGAGAAGGAAAGGAACTGCTCATGATCCTAAGCATACCACCTCATTAGTGAAGCATGGTGGTGGTAGTGTCATGGCGTGGGCATGTATGGCTGCCAATGGAACTGGTTCTCTTGTATTTATTGATGATGTGACTGCTGACAAAAGCAGCAGAATGAATTCTGAAGTGTTTCGGGCAATATTATCTGCTCATATTCAGCCATATGCTTCAGAACTCATTGGACGCCGCTTCACAGTGCAGATGGACAATGACCCAAAGCATACTGCAAAAGCAACCAAAGAGTTTTTTTAAGGGAAAGAAGTGGAATGTTATGCAATGGCCAAGTCAATCACCTGACCTGAATCCGATTGAGCATGCATTTCACTTGCTGAAGACAAAACTGAAGGGAAAATGCCCCAAGAACAAGCAGGAACTGAAGACAATTGCAGTAGAGGCCTGGCAGAGCATCACCAGGGATGAAACCCAGCGTCTGGTGATGTCTATGCGTTCCACACTTCAGGCTGTAATTGACTGCAAAGGATTTGCAACCAAGTATTAAAAAGTGAAAGTTTGATTTATGATTATTATTCTGTCCCATTACTTTTGGTTCCTTAATAAGTGGGAGGCACATATGCAAACTGTTGTAATTCCTACACCGTTCACCTGATTTGGATGTAAATACCCTCAAATTAAAGCTGACAGTCTGCAGTTAAAGCTCATCTTGTTCGTTTCATTTCAAATCCATTGTGGTGGTGTATAGAGCCAAAAATGTTAGAATTGTGTCGATGTCCCAATATTTATGGCCCTGACTGTATATATATATTCCTGTAATAAAAAAATGTTATGTATTAGGTAAGAGTGTAAGATAGTACTCCATCCCTTCACTCACCGGCATGGACTTCATAGATGTCAGAAAGTCGCTGTGAGGTGGGTGAAGATCAGAGCTGACAACCACGCCATTCATTACCTAGATAGAAAGCATAAAACCTGCAAACATCTGGATGCTGTAGCACACATCTGTCAAAGTTCAGACACCAGAAAGCACAAATCATTGCCATGAAATATACAAAAATAAAGAACTGACAGCAGGTTATGTGTTCACCTGCAGCCCAGATGGGAGTGGAGAATCAAGAGGTCTTTTCCTATCAGGGCACAGAAGTAAGTCCCACCAGTACCATGAACTCCAAAATCACCCAGCTGATTTCCATAAGAAAACGTTACCTCCTCTGCCATCAGCAGTCCTCAGCACAGACAACCCAGGTGATGAATGAAGTATGGGGAGAGAATATTAACATGCTACATAGTACATAATACCCCAGTTCCCTTTCATCCCCTGCAACCAAAGTCTTTTCCTAAAGTGTTCCATTAACAGGAGAATTTCTGATTCGCTTACTTTTAGTCTGCCTGAAAATTGGCATACATATCTATCTGATCTATGGACTATCATACAGTTCAGAAATCCTGATAACTTGGATTTATGCATTGTATCATTCTGTATAAATGGTGACTCAAACAAATCAGTAGATAACGCGCTGCGTAAATTGACGGCGCTATATAAGTACCTGAAATAAATAAATGATAACGGATTTTCATGTATAGTTACTGTTCTGTCATACTTACATGTGTTTTTCATGTGTTGTATTGAACTGCATCAGATTATTATTGTTCAGTAGTACGCTGACATCTAGGAGAGGTTTTACACCACTACAACTTTTTTACTATGTGATTTTGGTTTCTCTCTCTGCCCCCCTCTTATTAAGAGCTAGTTAGTTCAGTCCAAGCTAGATCTGCCCTGTTTCTTTTATGCTCAGTCAGCATTAGTATTTTGCAGAGATGGGGCTTAGGGAAGTCATTGTCTTCTTGCACTTCAAAAGACTGGAAAGTATTCTCTGTGCTGCAATTATGTGTTTTATTTTTGTACTTCCTGAAGACGATCTACTGGTCGAAACGCGTCGAAGGCTTATGACGCAACGTCCGCTGATGTCACTTCTGGTATTTGGAAAGCATGCTGGAACGCAGCGGCCATCTTAATTCCCATTCATAATACACAAAGCTGAATACACCTAGTGCCAGGAAAGGCATTTCTATTGTTTATAAAATAACAGTGCAGCGCTAAGAATTAAATAAATGTGACACAATAAAAGTGATCAAAGAAAATCACTTCTGGTTAGTGTGCATTGTTACCCTAGGTCACCGCAGTTGGGACTTTCTTTGATCACTTTTATTGTGTCACATTTATTTAATTCTTAGCGCTGCACTTTTATTTTATTTTCATGTGAGGATTTTTTTGGTTATCCTGTGTGCCTTAGCTGCTTGTTTATTGAAAGCGCTCACTTATTATTCTCTATTTCTATTGTTTGACCCCATATTAAAGTTCTATACAGTTTTACACTATGGGATGTCTGTTTTTTTAATTTATGCTGAAAATATGAAATACTGCCTGTGTAGGAGAGGAGCTTCCTGACATTGATGCAGTCCTAGTGGAAAGTTATTGGTTACTTCCAGCAACCACGGTTATAAGGGCGAAGGAATATCTGCCATCAGGACCGATTGCATACTGGGATGTTCCCAAAAAGCAAGTGTGACTTACCTAGAGATAGGTGGTCATGAAATGATGGCGAGTTTACATCTATGTGGGGCACCAGTGTGAACACAGTGAAGCACTTGTCATTTCAGCATGGAGTATCACCGTTAAGGATACAGCACGTTGCACCAATTATTCACATGTTTGGACTGAATATTAATATAGTATTTGAATTTTGCTCATTTTTATCACTTCAAAGATTGCACAATTTATTTAGTCAATTTTTTACCTTAGCGCGGTCCATTTTTGAACTATTTAAGACTTTGTGTTTAGTAATTTACAATTAGGACTGCTGCTATATAGGTATCTTATATATAGTCAATTCTTGTATATATATGTTTTTTTTTTTTCTAAGCGCAACAGCACCCCTTTTCTTTCCACATGTTTTTTATTGAAGTGTTAAGCTGCTTGTGGATGGAGCCAAGTCAGTAGGTGACCATACTCTCCAGACAGACTGGGTCTAAAGAAGTATGTCAATGCATAAAGTGGCATTTGAAACACAACAATCACATATAAGCAGTGTCTTGCTAAGCTGTGCTGCAGTGTGGAATGCAACCTGACCCTATAGCCATAGGTAACAGTGTATTATGTGAATTAAACAAACTCACCGTGCTCAAACCAAATATCCTACGCAGGTCCCTATTACATCGTGTTTACTGATCGGTGTTTTAGTCTGGTTTTGGGATCTTTCAGAGCAGAGTCATCCTCATGTACCTGGGAAAGGATATCCATTGGAAATTATTTGCCGTACCGATTCCTCAGTATACTGCACATACTAACAGCTGTATACGGGCAAAGAGTCCGGTAAGGTGCCATTTTTTCTGGGTGTATGGTGACGGTATATGGGATCAAGATTTTTCTCATTTATTTTGTTCCATTTTCTTTGAGTATTTATATGGACTTTATTTGGACATTATTATTTAGTTAATTAGCGCTGCATTCCTTTGTTTACATGTTTCAATATTGCCTTTATGTGTCGGCTGCTTTTTTATTTTTTACTTTTTTTGTCTTATTACATTCTAGCGCAGTTATTCGTTTTTTAACTTTTTGTATCTGCCAACTTGTCTGGGGTCAGTAAATCAAAGTACTGAAGCCAGGGGGTCAGCATAATGCTGGCCATAAGCGTCTCAAATTGTGAGCTGTGGGTGGCTCTGTTTTCCACCTGGCTCTTAATTTTCAGATCAATGTTTGTGGAAATTTCTTGGCCGATCACTGACTACAGCCAATGAGATGCTGTCACTGTTTGGGTATTCTGACAGCCACTGGAGCAGTGGCTGTGAGAATACATTTGCCTGTAGGAGCGATTCCTCTATCCAAGCTAAACAGTGTGGATGGAGGAATTGCTCCTTCAGGCAAATATATTGTATGTAGAGATCTATTGATTTCTTTTGGTCAACCCATGGACCTAAACAAGAGAATAGTTAACACATATGGCTAGCCTAAAACCCAGGTAACCAGCATTTTCAGAAGGTCAGCAATGACCATTTATTGCAAAAATCAGCTAAAAGGAAACGAAATTTTGAGGTACTTCTAGACAGCATTCTGTTGTACAAAGAATTTTCGCACAAAGACAACCCTTCATCAAGTAAGTAGCCCAGAGCTAGAGAAATACAACCTTTCTGAGGCTTGCTCAGGACAACAAAGTTTGGTGTTTGCCATACCTCACTTTCCATGTTTAGTTGTCAGAGAGGGGTGGTATAGAAGGCGTCTATTTTCCAGCGTTCACTATGTTCTCTGTGTGGCAGTCAAGCCTAGCATGCCCCATCTTGTCCAGCATCTTGGAATAAGGCCTCCAGCTGAGTAGTGCAAAATAATTCTGTGCTTAAATAAGTGCAAGTGCTTCCAAGCTCCATGATTTAACAGTCTTCGCTAGGGATCTCTTCAGGTGTCATGTGGAAGCTGATTGGGAAGAAAGAAAATACATTTTTTTTTAATCAAAATTCACCAACACCCAATACACACTTATAGGTAATGCAATGTACCCAAGCAATATTTTCCATAGTAATGTATGTTCAAATGTTTTCTATACATCAAACCTACCATGAAAATGTGAAGGACCAGAGTAAAACAAGGAGACGTCACCAGCACTCAAACATACACACTTGTTTATTAGTCGCATGTTACATCACTATGTGGGCTTGAGGAAGGCACCTGCATGATCCTGAAACACTGGTTTACTTGACTGATGTGACATTGAACTAATAAAAGCGAATATATGTTTGCAATGGAGTGCTGGTGGCATCTCATTGTTTTACTGTGGTTTATGTGATGCCATTCACTACCATCTGTTACCAAGGTCAAATGCTGGAAGGAATGCAATAATAATCTGATTTATGTTACAGACAGGGTCAATTCAAACGGAGTGTATAATACAAAATTACAAATGCAGAGGTTATCTTCTCAAGTCTTCCTGTAAGAGTAGCTCATTTTTGTTTGGAGGGTGGCTTCAATCCTGTGTCATAAGAGTTGGGCTCCTAGGGAAGTAGAAGACCAGTAGATGCTTTGAATGGCCACATCTAGTCTGATGGCTACTTTCTGACTATAGAAATGAATGCACAGTCATAGCTTTATCTTTCTGCAGTATAATCAGGTTAAAGTATAACTAAAGGTTCCTGTCTAAATAAGTACCAAAGCCAGTTACTATGTGATGAACAAGCCTCGTAAAGTAAGCAAACTTCCTTTAACCTCCCTAGCGGTCTGATTATGTCAATATTTCTGTGCTCAAAGCGGTACATTTTTTTGCATGGAAATATGTATTTTTTTTTATTGTAGGCCTGTAATTTTTAGGAATAACTCACTGAAATCTGTCCGAACAAGAGTCTAGTAAACATCCCGGGTAGGATAAAATTTGAAAGGCGAAATCATAAATTATAATATAATAAATAATCATAAAAAATAATAACATAATAATAATAAATTTAATTAAATAATGTAATCAAACCAAAAGCACTGAAATTTGAAATAGAGCGACAAGTTCGCACATCACTGAGCAAAGTCACATAATCGTTTTCAGTGTCTGATGACGAATTTCCCCACAAATCATTATTGCTTAGAATGCAAGTGGTTCTAATTTACTATCGCTCTTCTCTAGCCGGTCTAAAACCGCTTTTGACCTAAAGGGACGCTTTTTGGACGCCATGGACATTTCTCAGTTCCCAGGCAGAAAGAACAGTAAAAATGCAGGCAGAGCACAGGACAAAGCACTAGGGACAAAATGTATGTGAAATGGTTTGATACAGTAATGTTTTACTATGTGATTTTAGTGTATTTGTTGAATGTCACTTTTAAAATTTTTTAATTTCCTGCCGGTTCCATCCCCATACGTCCTGTACATCCCGGCGCTCGCAGGGAACGGAACCTGGAAGACGGATGCCGGCATCAGCTGGAGGAGATGGCCGGGGATGCAGGGGGACACATCGCGGGAGCGAAGGACAAGGTAAGTGCTGCAGGGAATCCCTGAGCAATGCTGCAGGGTAATCCCGAGTGTAGCTCGGGGTTACCGCTTTTGGTACTGAAAGTTAACACCGAGCTACACTCGGGAATAGTGCCAGGGAGGTTAACTCCCTGACTCTAAACCTCCATCATTGGTGTCTCATGCACTCCCCCTCCCAGACACTGCAGCTCACATTGGGGGAATTAGAGCAACAGAGGCAGTGCTGCCAATCCAGAAAGCAGTGGACAGGTCTGGGTGTGGCCAGCTGCTGACTGTCTGGCTACAGGCTTGTCAATCAGCAGTGACAATTCTAATAGCCACACCCCCTGCAACATCTTCTCATCCCACTGTAGTGCAAGCAGGCACAGCCTACAAGAGAGTGACAACTCTGAATTCAGGCGCAGTGCATCATACATCGTGAGTACAATTATTAGGCAAGTGACCAAATTTTCATTTTATGCATATTGTCCAACTCCAAGCTGTATAAACATGAATGATTATTGGATTTAGGCATATCAGGTGATGTGTATTTATGTAATGAGGGAGGGTGTGGCCTAAGGATATCAACACCCTATATCTAGGTGTGCATAATTATTTAGCAGCTTCTTTTCCTCAAAAATGGGCCAAAAAAAGAGACTTAACTGAATCTGAAATGTCAAAAACTGTAAAAAGTCTTTCAGAGGGATCAGCACTCTTGAAATTGCTGGGGTGTGATCACAGAAACATCAAACGTTTTGTTGCAAATAGTCAACAGGGTTGCAAGAAGCGTGTTTAGGCAAAAAAAAAAACCCAACGATTTGAGAAGAATCAACCGTGAAGCTACAAGGAATCCATTATCTTCCAGTGCTATCATATTCCAGAACTGCAACCTACCTGGAGTGCCCAGAAGTACAAGGTTCTCAGTGCTCAGAGACATGGCCAAGGTAAGGAAGGCTGAAAACCGACCACCAGTTGAAACGTCAAGTCTGGGCCAACAAATGCAGATTTTTCAAAGGTGTTTTGGACTGATGAGATGAGAGTGACCAGATGGATGGGCCTGGAGCTAGATCAGTAATGGGCACAGAGCTCCACTTTGACTCAGATGCCAGCAAGGTGGAGGTGGGGTACTGGTATGTGCTGGTATTATTAAAGATGAGCTAGATGGACCTTTTCGGGTTAAAGATGGACTCAAAATCAATTCCCAAACCTACTGCCAGTTTTTAGCAGACACTTTCTTCAAGCAGAACAGGAAAAAGTCTGCATCTTTCAAGAAGACCATGATATTTATGCAGGACAATGCTCCATCGCATCCATCGAAGTACTCCACTGCATGGCTAGCCAGTAAAAGCCTTAAAGATGAAAGAAAAATGACATGGTCCCCTTCCTCACCTGACCTAAACCCTATTGAGAACTTAAAACAATAGCAAAGGTATACGAGTGCTAGGTAGTGCAGGAAAAAAGCAGGTGACATAAAGGCAAAATCCTCTAAACCTTCCTAAAATCCAATCAAAAATATGCAGCGCTATATGTTAGAACACACAAATAATAGAATTGGTATAACAGCGCTGTAAAGAGCTTAAATCAAAATCAAGTGCAATGAGCGTCTAAGGACGTTATATTGTGCAGGTAGTGAACTCCAATAGTAGAGTGTAATATATAATTACATAAGTCCCCAAATCCATAAAAAGGTGCAAATCGTGACTCTGGTGATGTATATATAGATGTAGATTGCACTAACCAGATAGCGCAAACAAATGTGCATTTTAGTATTTAAACCACTCCTGGTCCTCTGGTAACAGAAGGATGAACATCCACAGCCAGGGGCGGACTGACCATTCGAGCACTTCGGGCACTGCCCGAGGGCCCAGGGTTAGTAGGGGGCCCCATGAAATGCCCCTGGTACCTTTTTTATAGGCTTTTTTGAGTGTGGTCAAGGACACAGGGGCCCCATGATCCCCTATTGCCTGGGGGCCCCATGAGTTGTCAGTCCGCCCCTGTCCACAGCTCAACTGGCCAACCAGCAGAAGTAGTTGTAGGGTCATCAGCCTCCAGGGATCAGGAATCACTCAGCCATCCACCAGGGGGATCACACTCCTTGTACCATGGTATCATACATAGCCACCAGCGGGACCTCTTTCAAAGGCAGGTACAAAGCAGCAGCAAAATCCACCTTGAAGGGGGGCTCGCAATGCATATGCAATGCATACTAGCACATTATGACATTGCTTTGCAGGGGAAAAAGTGTTTTTTTTTTTTAAGACTTTTACTACCGCTTTAAGTCCTGGCTGTCTGCTGGCCATCTCCTTCTACAGCTGTCTGGATTCCCAGCATGCTTTGCAGCTTCTCCTCTGCTAAGTTTCATTTTCTATGGACTACATATCCCATGGTACCTTGCTGCCTGCAAGCAGTGATTCCTGTACTGACTCCGCCTCCTGAAACTCCTCCTCTCAGCACCTCTGTAGTTCAGAAGGCAGGCTCTGTGAAATGTGACAAAGCAGTGCTACTCACAGGACATAGTGAATATGTGTCACAGAACGCAAAAAGGTAAATGTGTTGTGGGGACAGGGGCATATTTACTACAGGGCAGGCAAACAAGGCCGGCCCCCGAGGGGCACCGGGGCTGGGCAGAAGGTGGAAGAGCAGAGTGAGGGGAGCAAGGGGAGCGTCCATGAGCCTCTGAAGGTGAGTCTCTCTGCTTCTCTCCCGGGGTAGGTGGGGGCCGGGAGAATTTTTGTGTTGCCTAGGGCAGCACAAAACCTAAATACACCACTCTGTGGGGGTCTTCACAAAGTCAGTTTGCAAACATCAAGAATGTTCAGAATAATAGGAGTAAGCTAGAAATGACTGGAATAAAATGTGGAAATGAATATAGGATTTTAATTTTGGCCATAGCTACCCTTTAAGTACTTCTGCAAACACAGATCTATTTGTATCAACCTAGACAGCAACAACAGATGTAGAAGCTTTCCTACACACTGCTACAAAGTACACAATGAGGGGTGGCCACTCTGCATTTTATGATGTGTTAAAGTGTTACTAAACCCACAACAGTAAAATCTGTCTGTAGATGCAGTAAAGCATGCTTGTTATACTCACTGTGGAACCTAAGGGGTTAATCCTCCACATTGTGTAAAAAGGACGTTTGATTCTGTCTTCTCTGATCCTCCCCTTCTTTCACAGTCCCCAATCCATCTGCTGACAGAACAGAGCTTTGGGGGCAAGCTGCACATAACCAGTGCTTTAACCAGTGCTCTGCTGGAC